TAAAATTAACATTTAGCCCACAGGATTTGGCCCTCCTAAATTTGATACACTCTTATTGGTAGCCCTGGATAAAGGTTGTGGACTGTAAGCCATTGCAATATATGTAGATATTTTTCTTAATTGCTTGTGGCCCTGATCTGTAAATAGGAACAGTTTTGGTCTCTGTTACAGGAACAGTGTTATGGAAGCAGTATTAAAGCTGAGTTAGGGAACCAGCTGAATAGTCTTAAATCAGCTTGCTATTTGGAGGAGATACTGAATGTAGGTCTACAGAATTTTCATGCTACTGTGTTTTGATAGCATATTCGTATCAGACTTAGAACACAGATTCAAGGAAATTTCCATCTGCTAATAGAATCTGTCCCAACATACCTGGGAACAATTGAATTGCTGGCCCCATCCTACTATGCTGTGATTTATACATGGCAATTGATCCCACTCCTTAATAAAGCTTTTCCTGAGAACCAGTTTGGTATAGTGATTAAGGCACTAGGCTAGAAAGAGGAGTCTGTGAGTTTGAGCTCCACCTCAGGGATAAAAACTAGCTAGATGACTTTGGATCAGTCACTCCCTCTCAAACAAACTCATCCCACAGGGCTGTTGGGGGGAGGGATCAGAAGCAGTAATATTAGGTGTATTTGCTGCCTTGATTTTGGGAAAATAGAAAGAGAAAGGAATATTAGGTAGGCTACTTTGAGTTGTTTATCAAAATAATAAAAGCAGGAAATAAATGAATAAAATAAAAACTTTTTCTGGATGATATATTAATTTAATGTGCATGATCTTTTATTAGTGCTTGTAGAGTTCACCTAAAATTAACAGCTAAGCAATTTCTCCTTGGTTGTCTTAGCCAGCAATCTATTATTTGAGTGTAACGTAATACTGTAAATTATGAATATCACTTGGCTTGTGGCCCATTTTTTCAGTGGCTTTGTCTCTTTTTTTTAACTTGAGCATCTATTGTATTTAGTTATCTATTACATTAATCACTGTTTGCTATAAAGAAGAATAGACATCTAAGTAAGATATATTGTCGCCAACAAAACTTTCTTTCATGCAATCGTCCTTCAGCAGTTTGCTACTTTTCTCCAAGGGGATCTGAGGGCAACAATAACCATAGTTGAATGCAGAGCAATTGGCATACACACCACTTGGTGATATCCCTCCTTTTTCTCTTTTGCTTCCTAAGTTCAGAGATATCTTCTCAATGCTTTTTATCTTAGAGAGGTGGATCTGAATTTTAGGATGTGGTTCACATACTATCAATGATTATATAAGCTGAGTTCTATTGAGAATGTCAAGTTTTTAGTTTGATAGAAAAGTATCCCAATGTTTTTGACAACTGAGCAAAATAATCAAGTTGAAGTATTTTGAATTGCATCTTTGTATTTGTCTTGATTTATTGAAGAAGAAACTAAGGGAACTTATCTAACCAGAAAGCAAAATATTAATTGCTTTTTATGTTTTTTATATTAGATTTTTTAACTTTGTAAGCTATTACTAAGAGTGACTTAGATGGCCATATTTTTTTAAATAAATAAAATAATACAATAAAGTGAAAAATAAATTTAAATTTTCTTTTATACAGGTATCAATCATGGGCCTGTAATTGCTGGAGTCATTGGAGCTCAGAAACCACAATATGACATCTGGGGCAACACTGTGAATGTAGCCAGCAGGATGGATAGTACTGGCATTTTAGATAAAATACAGGTTACTTTTTTTTATTCTTGCTAATAGCCAACAGATCTTGTGTGGAATCTGATTCTGTTTTTCTTTTAGGGAGAGGAGATTCAAAGCAGGGGATTAGGGAGTCAGAACTTCTATATTGTTAATCAATTGGAAGAGGTGGCATTTCATAAGCTAATTTATAAAGGAGAAAAATAGCAACAGCTACCAAAAAGGTTTTCTGCTCAAATTCTACAAATAAAGAAGCCTCGTCTGTCTTCATTTCTGCTCGTCCTTTTTTCTCTTCATCCTTCCTTTCTTCAAAAGAAACCCAACTAAACAAAAATATACTACTAGTCTCATTGGAGTTGTTAACTTAAAATTTGCTTTAGAATTTTTAAAAGTTGATACAATAAAAAAAAACTTTACCCATTTCAAACTATTAGAATTATCCTAGATGATCCTGCAGTAAACTGAGTCCTACTTATAATCTACCCATCAAACTCAGGTTTAGCGAAGTGAAGTCCCATTGATTCCATTGGAATTCTAAATATTACAAACTGCTAATCTGGCCCAATATATATTTTTTTTCATGTACTTGTCCGTTACAATAATCAGGAAAGACTATGAATGAGATTCTCATCTTTGAAGTTGGCAAGGTTATATATTGAAGGCCTTCCCCATAATTATGTCAGTTGACCTCTACTCACAGCAAATAGTTCAGGTCATAGAAGAGAAGAAAAAGATTTCTAGGTTTCCTTTAAAATGTCTAAATGTGTTCATTTAAATAATTGTTACAGGTCACCGAAGAAACCAGTAACATCTTACAAACATTGGGCTACATTTGCACCTGCCGAGGTATCATTAATGTCAAAGGAAAAGGAGAGCTTCAGACTTACTTTGTACATACTGAAATGACTAAGTCCCTTTCACAAGGGAATGTGGCATCATGAAATACATCAAGGGTAGACAGTCTCATATTTTTAGAGAAAAAGCACCCCACATTTTTTTCTTAAGTCTCCTCTAGCCCACACCAATAACATGTGTGTAATTTTCTAGTGTATAGAAATGTTGCTGTAGTAGAGTGGCTACCGTCTCATCCCACCATTCACCATCAAGAGACCTCGGTAGTTGTCAAGATTCCAGAAATGGACAAAGTCTGTGCTGTGCACTGAGATAACGACAGCTTGATTTGTATTCTCGACTCTTCAGTGGTAAAGAATGGAGGAAAATAACCACAGAGCTGGAAAAATTAAGGGTCTGTTGCAGGAGGCTATGGAGACAATAATTTAAAAAAAAATTACAGAAAAGCACTGTATAGCAATAAAATTAGAGCTGCATGAAACATCGTGAAAAATATGGTAGCTCCCTATAAACATCCTCTAATCCCGAATTATATAATTCTGAATATCTAACTCTATCCCCTCATCATTACAACTAGGGTGTGTTCACTAGTTGTGTCTCACAGCCAACAACATAAAACAGAGCTTCAGGCTTCATAGTTTCCCCAGAGGAATTCATAGACAAGCAGGACCAGTTTTGTATAAAATGTGTTAAAATGTTTTAATGCCCTTGTCTTTTGTAATATAAACTCATTAAAGGTTTCTATGTACTTTATTTGCAGTTGTGAAGTTATTATGTGTCATCAGTGAGCTTTCTGGCACAAAGGCAAAAACAAAACCCAAACTGGTCTGCCAGACGTTTATGATTTAATGTGATAAGGCCATGGAGACAAAGGATAAATATAAGCAAAGTAATATTTCATATTTTTTTATTTTATTTTATGGCCAATTCATATGTGTGAATTCCCCTTAGTGCTACTTAACACAATGTTGCCGTTAAAAGTATGAAAAATGAGAAGCAGTCAATAACTTCTCCCTATCTTTGTTGTAGATATAGAAAGTAGAGCAATTACTGTAACAGTTTACCTACTCATCACTAATATCCCACTTGTGATCATAAAAAAGAAAAAGCTGAACCTGCAAAGAGGAAATCCGAATTAATGCCAAGTTTTTAATAGCTTATTTATCCTAGATAGGCAAATGCTGAAAGTATAATTAATGCACAACTATTGCTACAAATGATGATCTATAAAAGAATCAGAGAACATGGAAGACGATACACTACAATAATTTATGATACTACATAGAGTACTATAACATATAAACCAAATATGCCATTCAGTTCCTGGTAACAATTTCACCATAAGGAAAGCGAAATGATAAAAAGTGTCATCTTATAAAATCCAGAAGTTATGGACTTGTTTCAAATAGCAGGACACAAATGTATAATTGTAATATTTACTATGTGATGACATCATTGTACCTATGTCATCATTTTGGGTTTGCCTAAAGGGGGCTACAGCTAGTGCTCTTTAGTGATAAACATCTCAGGAGGCTGCTCAAATATTGTACAACATCTACAAAACCCACTGTAAGAAAAGGTCAGCTTTGAAAGCTGAATAACTTAGGCAGAGTAAGGAAATCTATTTACCATCTTGCCATAATTTAATCTGCTTTTACTATTAGATGTTGGAAGCAGAAACCTGACAGAATAATGACATTTCTCAATCATAAAAGCCTGTTTTGCTTTTGGGATTTCACCAGGCAGCGTTGTTACCTTTTCACCCTTATCTTTGCAGCAGTAATGTCTAATAGTATAGTATAGTACGTGATCTGAAATGAAATATTGTCAAGTAGCTCCGTGTCCTAGGATAAGTTCCATCAAGGTACAAAATGCATTTAGGAATGGATAACTACTAAAAGATTGGTTACATGCTTCTTTCTGTCAGTGCCTTTTATTAACTGCTACTAATGAGACACATTTGATGAGACACCTATTGGTCTGTTTGCCTGCAGGTATCAGTAACAGCTCTCCTGACCTTAAATCATTCATGCTTCTGAACTCATTATTCAAGAACCTTTTGTCTATCTTCCAGTTGAAAAGTAACTAATTCCCCCTTTAGGCTCTTTGATATCAACACCTCCATTTAGATTCTGTGATCTCTATACACCACTTACAAAGGTGTCTCATATTTCAAGAAACATATACCGTCATCCAGAAGACACTGTGTGGTTAATTCACTCAGAATCACCGCCTTACCTCTTTGTATCCGTCTATTATTCCTGTTATTACTCAGAGAAATTCCTGCTAACAAATACTGTGACTTCACAGATACTTTACTTCTGAAACAGATTCACATGGTAGCAGCCTGTCCTTTGTTTTGCCCAGCCACAGCTTTTCTCAAACTTCCAACCCCCTTACAAGTGATTTGACATCATAGTTTATTCAGATGGTCTCTTAGTAACCAAAGAACTCTGCAAACGCACCAACCTGGGGGTGGGTGGGAGATTAATAGGCAGCGCAAAGCAATCCAGCCTGCCACTCAGCTGAACATTGGGCTTCACGGGGGAATGCAAGGCACCCAGGATGGGAAAGAACTGGAGGAAGAGGAAGAATTGGAGGAACTGGAAGGTACCAATGAGGCACTAATAAGGAAACACCAGCTTCCACTCTCTGCACAGTCAGCCTTCAGCTACATCCCACCCCGACGTAAGGACCCTCCTGAACTTAGTTATTTTTACCAGGAGAGCAAGGTATGTCCAGAAATTATGTGCAATTAATTGGGAGGAGGAGTCAATGCATCCAAGACACATGTTATGATGGAAATACCTATTAAAAGGCGTTGGGAATGAAGCATTGTTCAATCTTTCACACCCAGATAGCAAATTGCAATATAGATAGTCCTCGACCATGACCACAATTGAGTCCAAAATTTCTGTTGCTGAGACATTTAAGTGGATTTTGCCCCATTTTACGACTTTTCTTGCCACAATTGTTCAGTGAATCATTGCAGTTGTTAATAACTTGGTTATTAAGTGAATCTGGCTTCCCCATTGACTTTGCTTGTCAGAAGGTCACAAAAGGTGATCACATGGCCTCGGGACAAAGTAACGGTCATAAATATGAATCCGTTGCCAAGCATCCAAATTTTGATCGCCATGACAATGGGGACACTGCAACAATCATGTGAAAAACAGTCATAAGTCCATTTTTTCAGTGCCATTGTAACTTTGAATGGTCACTAAATGTAAGTCAAGGATTAACTATGCCATTTTTGAAGCATGTAGTCTATGGAAGTTGCTTTTTACATTGGCACTGACTCTGGATCACTTGTTTGAATAATGATTGGTGAAGTCAGAAAGAGCAGTATGCTTGTAACTTTCTCCTCATTTGTGAGCAGTGTCTTGTATTGTGTTATACTGGGTAAGAATATAAATTACATTAATTTTGGAGCCAAGGGTCATATTCAGCAATGTGGCATGCTGACACTGCTACAACCCTACAAGCTACTTTCTCTCTTTAGAGGCTAAGCAGTGCTTAAAGCAGTGGTTCTCAACCTTTCTAATGCCGTGACCCCATAATACAGTTCCCCATGTTGTGGTGACCCCCAAGTGGGTGTGGCCACCAATAAGAGGGAGTAGGACAGCTAGGGAAAAGGGAAAAAAATGACGGACAGCGTGGTTTGGCAACCCCCGTGAAATGGTCGTTCGACCCCAAATGGGGTCCTGACCCACAGGTTGAGAACCACTGGCTTAAAGGCTTTTAATCACGTTGGAAGAGCCCAATATATTCAGTGGCTTTGGAAAATACAGCAAAGATCACTAAGTTCTGTCTCCTAGATAGGAATAATTGTAGATTCTATGTCTATAAAAATGTTCAGCACCGTATTGTTTTGGAGAAGTTCTCTTATTGACAGCAATTATTTATGAAGATATGAGAACATACACATTACTGTTCAACAATGAAAATTTAGCATATAGCAATACAGGTAGTCCTTGAGTTATGACCGCAGTTAAACCCAAAATTTCTGTTACTAAGTGAAACATTTATTAAGTGTGTTTGCCCCATTTTACAACTTTTCTTGCCACAGCTAAGTGAATCATTGCAGTTGTTAAGTTAGTAACACGGTTGTTAAGTGAATCTGACTTCCCCATAGACTTTGCCTGTCAGGTCACACAAGGGGATCACATGATCCCAATGCACTGCAAGGGTCATAAATATAAGCCAGTTGCCAAGTGTCTTAATTTTGATCACGTGACCACGGGGATGCTGCAATGGTCATGTGAATAATGGTCATAAATCAATTTTTCAGTGCCATTGTAACTTTGGTCACGAAATGAACTGTTGTTAAGTCAACCACCTGTACTAATATGCATATTGGACTGTTCAAGGGAATCGATTCCATCACTGTGATGTGATCTTTGGTGATCTTGTTTCGTCATTCAACTGACCCAGCCTTTTTATTTTTAAGCCAGGAATTGTTGCCCTATATGACTGCGTTTTCAAAAGACCAACCGGCTATGATGCAAAGCTCCATCGGTGTGACAGAGAACATTCAAAAAGCAGAGGACTTCATATTAATGATGAGGTGATTGTCAAGGAGTCTCAGGGTGATGAAAATCACTACTCCTTTCTGCTTACTTATAATGGCCAGGTTTTGGCTGCTGCCAATTACTGCATTCTACAAGCATGCAATGGAGTACTGTAATAATTATTAGTTTGAAGCTAGGATCTTATGCAAATTTAGTTAAGATAAAAATCCTAGACTATATCAAAACAACGTGCTTAGGGTTATATGACACAACTCTTCTCAGAGCAAAGAGATTTTGTTCCTATTCAGCCTCCCTCAGCAAGGAAGATCATTGGTTGAGTCATAGATGCACAAATTCACACATATTTGAGTGAATTAATAAACTGTATTTAAATTACTGCATTAAGCCTTATTTGGGAGTAAGCAGCATTTGGAAACAGTGCTATACGTTTTGGGGAGTAAATGTGGGTAACATTAGTATCTATTGTATATTAAATCTAAATCATAGTATTTTGCAATTAGACTGAAGTAAAGGGAGGTTTCTCCCCAAGCCGTTAGTATGATACAAACAGAATTAAGATGTTGGACTCATTAATTAAAATAGATCATAATTTAGCAAATACTTGCCTCCATCCCTGAAATATATGGAATTGAAATAGGCAAGCTATTATGTCTTTCCCTCAAGTTTCTATAAGCTTTACGGGGAATAATATTGCTGATGGAATACTAGAAGTCAGTTGTGTATATTTAAAATAAATCTTCTGAAATGCTACACATGCTTGTTATTCTTGATGACAATTGCATTTTGCAGAAAAAAATGACAATCCTTCCTTGAGGAAGTATTTAGTAACATAAATCTCAAAGTGCTTGTTCATATTAGACAATCTACAAAAAATATGAGGCATTTTAAAGAGAAGTTCCTGTAGGGTGGAAGAAATTATACCCCAATAGCATTTTTCTTTTGGAAACGACTGCTTGGGACTCTAGCTATTTTTAATGGATAAAGCTGAAGAGTATGAAGCTGTGAGAGTTTCAGGAAACCAAAATGTATTTGGAAAATGTCATTTTGATTTGGATGCAGGACATCCGCCATCATTGCCAGCACCACTATACCAAGCAGCTTATCTAGTTTTCTCTTTATTTCTGTTGTGTTTATATAGTCGGAAATCACATCTCAAAAATATTCTTTTTTTTGAGACATTTTATTGGTTTTTTTCACATTCTTAAACAAAAAGTATTCAAGACCCTCTGTGATGATTAGGTGGTCAAACATTCAAAAGTGAAAACATATATAAACAACACAACTCAATAAATTTCATTATCCCCTCTCTATTCCCCTCAGTTAACATAATACATTTAAATATTCTATTTCTATTTTAAATTTCTATCACTATTAAACCTGTGTTATAACTTTATCAGTTTACAAATACAATAGTTTAGATTTAAATAAAAAAATTATCGATTCTAATTCTTAATCTCTCACATCCCTCATTTTATACCAACCTCATTTATTTCTTCTTCCACTATACAATAGATACCTTAATAAATATTCTTACATCTCAAAAATATTCTTACAGGAAAAGAAAAGGCCTATAGCTGTCTTGTCTTCTTCTGAATATGGGCGGCATATAAACAAACCTGTGGAAGAGCTAATCCGAGACCACGTGCGCATTAATCACGTAAAGGCAGAGTTCTACAGAAAAAATGAAATAGCTTGCTTGATAGAAAAATGAATCCAACTTAAGAATCTACTGTGATAGATACCTAACAGCAAGATGGTATCAAATTCCTGTAGTGCCTTGCTTGGATTTATAGTTCAAATGTAACATTGAACATTACAGTTCAATCTTTATTTATCGCTGAGGTTTTAGCTAATTTTTAAGCTATTTTTAGGGCCTTCAAGCATGATGATACTTGTGTGACCTCCAGCTTATACTTGTACTAGTACTCACTTCTCCATTTTTTTTCTCCTGGAAAAACTGTGCAAAGATTTCACCAGAAAAGTGGCTTGACACTCTTAACACACTAGAGTACCTATGTATTAATCTGAAAATAATAACCTCTGTCATTTCTTATCTGTTTGTGATTTACAGTTTCTATACTTTTAATTGTATCAAACCTAAAGGACTTGGTAGTATGTATTGTTGCTTAAACATGCTTTTTTATTCCAATTTCATCTCTTCATTAATTTGAATGTTTTATAAGTGTGTTTGGAATGCTTAATTAAGGAGGTCACCATTAAAAGAAAAAAATATCGAGAAAAATATCTATCAACCTGCTTATATACAAAGATGCACATGTGAGTATTCATATATGAGCTGTGCATCAGAAATAAAGATCAGTTGATAGATGGGCAACTTCGTAACAATGAATTTTCAATGCTTAGTACAAACATTAAAGCTTGACATTAATCACACTTCTTGAAGTTGAATAGTTTTGTTTTGAATGCTGATGTAAGCCACATTTAATCTGCATTTCCTATCAGCCCAGAAGGGAAGCTTCTTCACAGAACAGTCTTTAGGAGAAGGGGGAAGTGCCAATTTTAATCAGGAGAACAGAAGAGGAAAAATAAACTTGAAATCAGTGGCCCCTATAAAAACCTTTCTCATGTTGTTATTTTTACTTGGTAGTAATCCACCTAGAATCACTTTTTGGTGAAATGGGCAGCATATCAATTTAATAAACAACAATACTTAACAATGTACAACATATGTAACATATACACATACGTACATAAAATACACATAACATACAAATATGCATACATACATAAATTCCATACATACCTAAAACATAAATGCACTCAAGTTTTATGTTTACTGTCACATCTAGTCTGGCTCCTGAGTATACACTGTACAAGCAGCCTTTAAAAACGAAATAGAAAAAAACCCTAAAACCATTAAAGACGAAACCATTCCTACATTTTCCATATACTACCAGGGGAAAATGCAACTCTTTTTCAGTTTAACATGATATTAAGTCAATCACATGAGAAAAAAAATAAACTTAGGTGCATTTGCACTTTGTTAACATTGGGAGACCAAACTATATAATAGGATAAAAACACTGGGTTTATTTAAATAAATCTTAATTTCCCAAACGTAAAATCAACGCTAGCCTTCATATATACATTTATTTGGATTCAGCTTGATTTTCATGGAAGCTATAAAAGTTAGGAAATACTTTCTTGTGTAGGTATTCCAGTACATCATTTTTGTTGTCCAGTGGGTTAAACTCAAAAAATGGGATCTGAAATGTAAAGAAATGCAGGAAACATTATTCAAATAATTCTGCAGAGATTAAAACAACAGAACAATTTTATTCTAAGTTTTCTTTTCTAAAAAGAACATGAACAGGCCTATCATATAAGGACATTTGAGACCTTTTCATTGAACCCTTCCCACACCTGATTAAAAAAAAAGTCCTTGTTCCTATCCTGTTTCAATATCCTTTGCTAACTATTAATGCAAGAATGGCTCCAGGCGTATGGCACAATAGGAATGCGATGGCAATAGGTCCTTGAGGGACAACTGGGGATTTCACTATGTGCTAGGACAAAATCCAACTATGCTCATTGGGAAGAGTTCAGCTAAGGATTACGGGCATAGTTTAAAGTGAAACACTCAATTTAAATGAAGACAATCCCAAAGGCAGTCTCAAAGTGGGAAAAAGAAAGATTCTTGTCTGAAATTTTGAACAGTTATTTCTGGTCAATTGAAGGTAGTACTAATGAACTGGACGTTCCAGTGATTCAATTCAATATAATGGCAATAATTTATGTACTAGTATTAAGGGTGCGATAGTGAAATAGTGCTCTGAGACATACACTTTTTTTTATTTAATCTGTATACTGCCTTTATTATTTTTACAAATGGGCGATGAACATATCCAACACACTTTCCTCCTCCTATTTTCCCCACAACAATTCTGTGAGGTGAATTGGGCTGAGAGAGTAACCGGCCCAAGGTCACCAGGCTGGCTCTCATAGGTAAGCCAGGACTTGAACTTACGCTCTCTTACTTCCTAGCCTCGTGCTCATAGTTTACTCTTTAGACCAAGAACAATACAGTCTGGATCAACCCTCAGAAGGAAACGCTTCTATGAACCAAGCACCAATATGGATCGCCAAATACAGTTAAATATTTGAAGAAGGATGTCCTTCCTATCTCTTGACATGTAGCAGTATTATTGAATTTACCTGTACAACCACATAACCAATGAGCTTCAGGTGTCTTTGCTTAATGGATTCTTTTCCAAGAAGATTGTGACTATTAGCACAAAATCTCTTTTCATCATCAATGCACAGAGCTATTCTGTAAAATCAAAATATTGTTCAGATTCAAAATGTCAGTGCAGACTCTTCTAACTCCAAGAGCCCTTCAAGAGTGTTAGATTACAACTCATTCCTGACTAGCACAGAGAATAATGAGAGAGATATTGCAACACATCTGAAAGGAAACATGTTGGGGGGAAAAAGTACTTTTTTTAAAAAACGAATGCCATCACCATTAAGTGAACAAATTGTTTGTTATGGGCTATTTTTGCCTGTTTCAGGTAAAACTGTTTTGCCTGTTTTAGGCAAACCTATCATAAAACATGCTCACATGACTGCAGGATGCTGCAAATGGCTGTAAATGCAGCTTGGCTGGTGAGTGCCCCAAATGTGATCACATGACTGCAGGGAGGAGGGGCATGGTAACTTTGAAACCGGGTTGTAAGTACCAATAAGGAGGTTTGTTGTAATTTCAAATGGTCGCTAAGTGACTGATCTTAAGTCAAGGATTATCTGTTGTCTGCTAGAACAGGTGAAGAATCTTCCTATTCAATATTTCATTTCAATACAGTTCTGATGGGCAACCACAATAAAGCATAATCAATTAACTCATTTAGATATGCAGCATGACCAAGTCAGTCTATATTATATGGCATAGTCAATATTGTCAGTGAACCTTGTAGTAACAGCATTTACTTATATCTAAGAATATACAAAACTATGCAATAACCTTTTGTCGACAAATAAATGCAAGTCCTTGTGCTTCTTTCTGCATAAATATGGGGGGGGGGAATTATTTGATCCAACTGCTGATTTTATACGTTTGCCCACTGACAAAAGAAATGATCAGTCCATAATTTTAATGGTAGGTTTATTTTAACAGTAAGAGATAGAATAACAACAAAAACATCTAGAAAAACGCATTTCAAAAAAGTTATACATTGATTTGCATTTTAATGAGTGAAATAAGCAAAACATGTTCGCAAAACATGACTTAATACTTGGTAAAACCCTTGTTGGCAATCACAGAGGTCAGAGACATTTCTTGTAGTTGGCCACCAGGTTTGCACACATCTCAGGAGAGATTTTGTCCCGCTCCTCTTTGCAGATCCTCTTCAAGTAATTAAGGTTTCAAGGCTGACATTTGATAGCTCAGTTCCCTCCACAGATTTTCTATGGGATTAAGGTCTAGAGAGTGGCTACGCCACTCCAGGACCTTAATGTACTTCTTCTTGAGCCACTCCGTTGTTACCTTGACAATGTGTTCTGGGCCATTGCCATGCTGGAATACCCATCCAAAACACATTTTCAATGCCCTGGCTGAGGGAAGGAGGTTCTCACCCAAGATTTGACAGTACATGGCCCTGTCCATCATCCCTTTGATGCAGTGAAATTGTCCTGTCCCCTTAGCAGAAAAACACTCCCAAAGCATAATGTTTCCACCTCCATGTTTGATAGTGGGGATGCTGTTCTTGAGGTCACAGCCAGCATTCCTCTTCTTCCAAACACGGCGAGTTGATGCTAAAGAGCTTGATTTTGGTCTCATCTGACCACAACACTTTCATCCAGTTCTCCTCTGAATCATTCAGATATTGACTGGCAAACTTCAGATAGGCCTGTATCTGTGCTTTCTAGAGCAGGAGGACCTGGCGGGCACTGCAGGATTTCAGTCTTTCACGGCGTAGTGTGTTACCAATTGTTTTCTTGGTGACTATGGTCCCAGCTGCCTTGAGATCTTTAACAAGAACCTCCCGTGTAGTTCTGGGCTGATTCCTCACTGTTCTCATGATCATTGAAATTCCATGAGGTGAGAGCTTGCTTGGAGCCCCAAACCGAGGGATTGACAGTTATTTTGGTGTTTCTTCCATTTGTGAATAATCATACCAACTGTTGTCACCTTCTCACCAAGTTGCTTGCTATTATCTTATAGTCCAGCCTTGTGTAGGTCTACAATCTTATCCCTGACATCCCTGGACAGCTCTTTGGGCATGGTAGAGTTTGGAATCTGATTGATTGCTTGCTTCTGTGGACAGGTGTCTTCTATACAGGTAACAAGCTGAGATTAGAAGCACTCCCTTTAAGAGAGTGCTCCTAATCTCAGCTCGGTACCTGTATAAAAGATACCTGGGAGCCAGAAATCTTGCTATTTGATAGGGGATGAAATACTTATTTCACTCATTAAAATGCAAATCAATTTATAACTTTTTTGAAAAGCATTTTTCTGGATTTTTTATTGTTATTCTGTCTCTCACTGTTAAAACAAACCTACCATTAAAATTATAGACTGATCATTTCTTTGTCAGTGGACAAACATACAAAATCAGTACGGGATCAAATAATTTTCCCCCCACTGTACGTATGACAAATTTGGTCAACTCCTTTCACCCTGATACACACCTGAGAGAATTGTACATCAAGCAGTTCCAAGAAAAGCCAAGTTAGTATTTATGGGGCATAAACAGGAGTCTAGACTGATGAATAGAAAGATGTGGGTTTTCATTGGTCTATGACTATTGTGCAAACTGAAAGTAGTTTGCTAAGCAAAGCAAGTCCATGAACTTTTTTGGATTAGAAGCATCTGCCATAGCAATAAGGTGTGAACAGGGATTCCTTCTTTCTGAAGCTAGCATGATGGATTTACACCCTGCCACCTTCTTTAGGAATTGCAACAGTATGGAAAGGGAAGGGGCAAAAATGTAGCAAAAACACTAGCTTGGCTTGAACATTGAAAAACATGTGATTTCTCAGGTATTGAGTAAGACCAAAAAGATTTAGAACTCTTGGAGCACAATATTGCTGATATTCCACAAATATGTATAATGCTCTGCTTCTTCACAATCAGAACCAACCCCTTAGGAAAAAGTGGAATAAACTTTTCAAACTGAAACAGAAACCGAATGCTAGAAATATTTTTTACGTTTGCGTGAGAAAAGAAAAATCGAAAAAGGTTCCTCAGGTTTGCTAACTTATTTTTGAAAACAATAACCGACAGTCCCGTTTTCCTTACCTTTCATATACCTCATCATGTACGTTGACTGGCAGTACAAATCCTTCTTCATTGAGCTTAATCTCAATATCTTATATAGAACAAACACAAAGAAAATAGCATTCCTCGCAAATATCTTTTTGCTTATTTCATTCATTTTCATAATTGAATATATTTATTTTTAATCAATGTGCAACACTGATAGCCGAGGAAATGGGCAGTCTTACTGTTTGTTAAGTACACTTTACTTGGCTAGAAACAAACACAGCTGTTGTTGAAAAATCTTAAGAATTCTAAGAGAATACTAAAATTCCACGCAGATGAGAGTGGCTGAGAAAAGGAGGAGGTAGAAGGCTTCAAAGAAAATGTCTAATGCCCTTGTACCAATGAGAAGATGTACTGTTTCACTTTTTATCCCCACCATTATGTCCCCACCTCCACTCTCAACCAATTAATTGCACCGAGGACCAAATCACTCTTGCTGGCGTTCTGAAGGTATAGTTTGCAGAGAGTTTACACTGAATGAACGTGAACTTCTAGGATCATATTTTACACAATTTCAGAATATTCCATGCAAATACTCTAAAGGACAAACAAATTCTAACAAAATGAGACAGAAAATCATGAGGTAACTCACACCAGTGGAAACTATTGCCTAAGTCCAAAACAAATCTTGCAGTCAGCTAAAGGCCTAATAGAACTCACAGAGCTTTTCAAAATTAATACCAAAGTATAATTTTTAATGTGACTGCTAGAGATTAACCTTATCCTACCCGTTACTCCTTGAAATATGGCCATTCCACCCATTCGATCCTGAAAAAAAGGGCACCTATCTGAACATAAACACAGCTATCTGAAAAGTAAACACAGTTTGCTCACCTATAGTGTAGTGATATGGTGTCAGAACATTATAGGCAAAATATTTTTGGCTCCCTAAGAGGCCAATCATGCCAGTCTTCACTCTGTTGAAAAGATGAAGATCAACCTTGGATTCTATTGACTCACATCTAGTGTAAAAGGACTTGACTTGGTTGTCTAGGAGGAGCCTGGGATTCTGTAAAGGCAAAAGATTCAAATTTTAACCAATTTTATGCCAAGTTGCTTCCTGCTGATTAACAAAACAAATATGAGTAAATATGCAATTAGTTTTTAAAAATGCACTAATGAACTGACAACATAACAAGGCATATAATGCTGGAAGAATAATGACGAATAAGGAAAAGTAGCCATAGCAGAGAAACCACCATATTGGAAAACCTATAAAGTAGTATTACCAGGCTCTTATGTTTCTCTCCAGGTAGTACAGGGCAATATAACTAATTTTCCAGATTTATTTATTTATTTATGAGACTTATATACCGCTTTAAGTGCAAGCACTCTCTAAGCGGTGTACATCAGTAAGCAATGTATATATATATTTACATTGCCCCCAACAATCTGGGTCCTCATTTTACCTACCTCGGAAGGATGGAAGGCTGAGTCAACCTTGAGCCAGTGAGATTTGAACCGCTGACCTGCTGAACACAGTCAGCTAAAGTGGCCTGCAGTACTGCACCCTAACTGCTGCGCCACGTCGGCTTGCAGATGTCATGCCCTGGAATATTTCGTTTGGCTTCTTGCTCCAGCATAGAAGTGCTATAATGGGAGCAGAAGTTTCCTCCAGTGGTATAAATCTATATGAACACCGTTCATCCTGTATATCTTATGACCCAAACCCCACAGGACTACAGCCTAAAATGCCAGCAAAAGTATTACTGCTGATATGGAAGATTACCAACAAGCAACATTAGCATATTTGGCCATTAGTATTATGAAACATTTATTAGTCTGAGTAAAAATGTACAGATGCTGGCATTTGCTTAAATATCAACATTAATTACCATCATTAATATCATACCTTATAGTATGGACACTCCAGTTGAACGGTTAGAAACAGCTGAGTCAACTGAGAAAGAACCTTCGATCTGGAACTTCCAGCTAAGATGCAAACAAACCAGACAGATGCATCATCACACAGCAACTTAAAGTTGATTGCTCAGCTTTCATTTATTTACTAGCGTTTATATGCCACTCCAAACCCAAAAGATTCTGGAGTGGTTTACATTCCCTTTCAGAGTAAAAAAAAGTTAAATCATCATTCTCATCATTAAATAACGTAAGAATTATGAGTCCTCCAATACCAAAGAAAAGCAAACATTATAAAAAATGCTTTAGGAGGAGGGGGCACTCATAACAACTCCATTCCAAAGACACTCAGAATAGCCACATTTTGATAGTTGTCTGAAAAATCAACACAAACCAGTCTAAGCTCGGGGCAGGGGAATATTGTTCCAAAGAAGATGCCATAACTGAGAAGAGAAATCCCTGTGATTCCTGAAGATAACATTCCTTAGAACAGAGCTCCCCAACGTTTCTGGCTTTGTGGAAACCGCTGCTCACCCACTGATCGCGCAAGTGAGGATATATGTAAGTGCATGTGCACTCGCCGGCCATTTTCATGGCCCAGTTGCAAACCCCTCATAGCCCACTAATGGGCAGCGGCCCACAGATTGGGGACCCCTGCCCTAGAAGAAAGGATCTGGAGAGAATACCCTTCCAGATCTTACAAAAAAGGCAGGGCTCACTGGTAGGGATCCTGTACAAAATTTTAAAGAAAACAATCAGCACTTCGATTACTACCCAGAAGGAAACTGGTAATCAATATAGCTCTGAAAATAGAGACATTATAAAAGAGAACCTACAGTAGTCTTTAAAAGTTTGTGAACCCTTTTGAGTTTTCAATATTTATGCATGTGACCTACAACATGATTTACACAAGTTCTAAAACTACATAAAAGCCAATTAAATAAGCAAATCAAAAGCATTATACTTGTTCATTCACTTATTGAAAAAAATGGTGCAAAGCTACATGTGTGGCAAAATTATTATTACAGGTAGTTCTCAATTTATGTTTACAACTGGGACCAGAATTTCCTTTGCTAAGGTGGTTATTAAATGAGTCATGCCCCATTTTATGATCTTTTTTTGTCAAAGTTGTTAAACTAACCATGAGGTCGTTAAGCAAATCCAGCTTCTCTCATTGATTTTGCTTGTCAGAAGCTGGCTGGCAATATTGCAAATGGAGGTCATACAACCCTGGGACGCTGTAATCATCGAAAACACATACCGGTTGCCAGGCACCTGAATTTAACTGTGGGGATGCTGTGACAGTCATAAGTGCAAGGATCGGTCACATTTTTCAGTGTCATAGTAATTTCAAATGGCTGCTAAACAAATGGTTTTAAGTCAAGTACAACTTGTATTACTTTTATATTATTACACACTGGTATTTATGGCGTGAATATACCCAAATTCCAACTAGTTGTCTCCTGCCACCTTGTGTGGTGTCCAAATGGCCATGTGATGGTCATTACTGCCTATCAGAAAAACAAACTTAGAAGATAAGAAATCTTGAGCTATCTAACTCAACTTTGGGCAGGTTGGATGAGGCAAATGGGGATGACCCAGATGCCAAAATTTCAACCGTATTTGGTTTGTTCTGTAAATGCTGCTATGTCTTATAAGATGTGCAAGGTATTTTAAGACCACTCGGGCAGCTGAATGCCTTACTAATCTTCATTTAATGAGTGCATATGGCTCCTACAAATTATTTGAAAACAACTGTTAGCAAGAGGACTGTTATAACAGAAATTATAAAGTTTACTTGCTTACCTTGCAGTTCCTGCAGAAAAAAGGGGCTGAACAGTTTTTCCATAAAATTTAGCGGATAGCATTTAATGAGAATGCATGAATGAAGAAGGTTCAGAAGTTCACAAGGCTCAAACTCAGAAAGTCGCATGCTAACAAACCTTTCAACCTGTCGTAAAAAAGATGGAGCAGATGGGGGCAAATAGTTGAGCTTCCCAAATGGAACAACCTGCTCAACAATCTGAGAAACAGTGAAATTATCAGCACTGTAGACAAAGGTTTCTGCCACTGCGTTGAATATGGGTTTGGAAAGAATGCATAGTGTACTGCAGTACTGCATGATTTTGGAAATTGTGTTGGGATGCATCACAAAGGCAAACTTAGTAACATGTTTTTCTAGTGCCTCTGTGAAACACTGGTCAGAGCATCTGAAATGAATGAATGCTTCCAGCACATTTATCATTTCATCATCTGTAAAGTATGGGATATAACATGATGCATGCTTACAAAGTTTTATTATCAATTTATTGACTTGGGTTTCATCAAAAACAACCAGAGCACTTAACACTGCACTTGTCTGTTTGGGAGTGAACTGGCAACCTTCTGCCTCTGCAAAATTGTTCATTTTGTTTAACAAGCTCCGGAAAAGGTCCATTTTTCTACCTACATAAAGTTGCAGAGTTCTGTATACCAGGACCATTTCTTCAACCTTCCAATCCTCAACATTTGTACTCTGAATTTGATTCATAATTTGTTCCAACATAGCATGTTCTGGTCCTCCAAGATTAAATAAACTTTCTCCAAGAATACACAAATTTGTTATAGTCATTTGTCCCTTTTCAAGACGTTGCTGGCTCTCTGACACCAAGCAAGCCATCAGGGCACTGCAAGGATCCATGTGCAACTTTGTCAAAGCATTTAGAGAATTTACAAGAGCAGGGTCAGATAAAAGTGTAGATTCTTTTTCCAGCTGCAAGCAAAGTGATTTGAAGATATCATTTTCCATCAGCAACTCGGGACTTTTCATTGAGCTGTCCTGTAGCTGGACTTCACCCAATCGCTGAAAGATAGCTGCTATCATGATGTCAGATAAATTTTCCAATGAACTCACAAATTTGAAAATATCTTTGTATGAAGACCATTGGTTTAATTCTTTCAAAAATATCTGTTCACCTACTATCTTGCTATTAGATTTTAAATTGTTATTGGCCTCTCCAAGATGTTGCATGGTTTCCCCAACAGGGCTAGTATGATTTTTTAGTTTCACATGGTGGTTTCTACAAGAAGTGCAATGGAACCCTCTTTGGTTTTCCAATATAGAAGAGTCAAAGTAGCAGATTGCGAACTGCCTCATTTTCTGACAGAAATGGCTGAAGGCTCTGCTTCCAGTTAGCAATTGTCTGCATGCTTGTACATTCGAAACATATAGGTGGAAAGATCTTAAAATCAAGAAAGCCATCTTAACTTAGCTGCTGACATTGCCTGAAAATAAAAGAAAAGGTTACTAGAGAGATTGCCTTTTTAAACTGTTTGAAATAATAGATAAGAGACAGTGTATAGTTAACATCAATGTCTCAATTCTGTGTGAATATGAAACGAACTAGAATATGAGACTGTTAACTAATGAATTCAACTTAGAAAAATACCTTGAACATTTAATATCTGTAAATATATGTTTGAAAGTATTACGAATAAGGCTAACTGAAGTTCTGAAACTGGAGTAAGTAGCTGGAATTGCTGCATCCAGCAGACAAGGGAGAAATTTCAATCCTGCTCCTTGTCGGTATTGCGATAGTAAAAAAACAAACAACCATTCCCAATTATGCAAAATGCAATACACTGCAAATGTAAATTGTGTATATTTTTGTAACATCAAATGCAGGATTCAAGACTTTTTATTCTAAATACGATTATGTGAGCTTTTTTCCTACTCCTCGGCCAATGCGTTCTTCTCCGGTCCTCAAGGTAGGAGGAAAGTGGTAAACTACTATCGCCAGAGCGGTCCTTTTATTGGGCCTGAGAAAAGGAGATCAGCAAAGCATAACAATAACCCATAGAAACCAGAAATGGGTTAAAGAGGAGCGCTTCCGCCCAGGCCTGAGCGAGAACGCAAAGAGAGTCGCACGAGCCCAAGGGGACCAGGAAAGCTGACACTCTCCAAATCTACCCGGCCTATTTTTACTAGTAGCCGTAATCGCAGACCCACCAGCCGTAATCGCAGAACCCCATTCGGAGAGCTCCACGTGCAGGTCATCCCTACCTTCTTCCTCGGCGCTTTCAAGGTTCCACTTCTGGTTAAGCGCGGCGACCAATCGGATCCCGGTTTTTCATTTTGTGCCCACCCTCCTAGAGTCATTGATTGGCTACAAAGTCGCAAAGCCCACTTCAACGTGACCCTGATTTGCTTTTGCATACTTCGTGGAGATAGAAATCTTGCAGAGGAATATATGCCCTGAGCTCCCGGTTGATTTTGCTGGTGAATGATGGGATTGGAAATCAAAATTCATCGGCTTGACAAAATGCCTCAAACGCTTCAAATAGTGGCGCTCATGACAGATTATCATTAATTTCCATCTCAGCATCACCGGCTACCTCAAGCCAAGACGACCCAGCCCCTCCTGCTGTGCATATCAATTAGGCATGGTTCTTTTTTTTTTTGAACATTTTGCAAAACAGCTGATGCTACCATCTGGGAGTGTAAACTGTTGCGCTGTTTGCATTTCGAAAAACTGCGCGGAATGAGGAGTTTCTTAGGCAGGCCCCTGTGGCATTTCCCTGGAAGCTAGAAAAAGGGTGGAAGAGAAAGACGGTCGCCTCTTTATAGATTTGAACATTAATCTACTTTTTTTTTGTACCCACCCCTTCATGATGACTGACAGAGACAGGGTTAGGAAAGTGCCCCAGGCGGACGGGGGGGGGGGGAATCAGCCTGTTCTGGAAAGGTTTCTGGAGAACCGGCGCTCCACTGCTGGTTTCCTTCCTGGCAAAGCGCTGGAATAGACCGCAGGTCTCGCTTCGTGCTCTTTCCGGTGGGTCCCCTTCTGACCCAGCCGGATTGCTCTCTCCGACCCTGTGCCAGCGAGGATCTGACTCCTGTAGTAGCGCAAAACTGGGCGGTGCTGTGCGGCGCGCGTGTGATCGGAGGCTGTTGTAACCCCTTCTCGGGTAGAAGAGCAGCTGTAGTTCTCCTTTAAAGGAAAGGTATTTTTCTGGTGCTCAGGGACGATTTACCTTTTTATACCCGGAAAAGACAAGATAGGTTTCCAGTGTGAAATTTCCCTGTCGGAGAAGATTCAGCAGGGTCTGGCTGGGGGACTCACCTCCAAGAGTCCACTTGCAGGGACTCCCACCCACTCCCCAGTTGTATTTTCGAAGAACCGAGCAAAGTTGTTTTCTAATGTGATTGTTATTTTTTAATTTTCTGCGTTGTTACTTATAAAGTAAGCTGTTCAGAGCCTTCGGAAGTGGAGAGGAATGTAAGGGAAACAGACAAATGCAGTGGCAGCTTCCATTGGTGCAAAACGTGGCATGCTTCATTAGAGGTCCATGTTAAAAAAAATCTGCCCTCGATCAGTGCTTTCCCATGTACAATTTATAAAGCCCTCGATGGCTTAAGGCCTGTTTAAGACCTATGCACCTTCTTTCTTGCTTGCTTTCAGGGATACATTTTATTGGTCACGTGGGAATGTGCTTGATTCCCTGCTCTCTGTTTTTGCAGTAGCAGCCAAGGTGCATCTCTTCTCTCAGGCCTTTAGTTTTTATTTTTGTTTTGTATTTTATTTGCGTTAACTGTTTTGAATAGAAGAGTGGAACGCTAATAAATGTAGATGTTATGCATTAAGAATTTTCACCCAGTGTATTTTCCTGTAAAACTAAAGAAACACGACCAAAAGCAGGTTGGTGTACAAAAGGGTTGTGTCTGTTCTTTAGAAGTAAGTGTACCACATATTTTTCTTTTCCTGCCACCCTCAGTTAAACCTTGAAAAATGTGTTGTGAAAGAAATAGAAGATTTCTGCTGCTTTATGCAAGTCAGAAAGGACAGGCAAAAGCCATAGCTGAAGAAATATGCCAGGAGGCAAAGGAACATGGATTTGAAGCTGATATTCACTGCATCAGTGAATTGGAGCAGGTGAGACTGTAATATTAAAAGCCATTTTTGACAAAATAAGCATTGAATGATTTACCCTTTGTCTTCTACTCTTTTATCTGAATATTCAAATGATTCCTTAGAAATCTTATCTATCACAAAGCATGACTTGCTTTTTTTTTCTGTTCAGTTGAAATGAAATAAACTGTTGTACTATCAATTGTTTATATAGACCTGTAAAAGTTTGTCTTTTTTTCAAACAGAAAAGGAACTGGAGAAGAAGAAATAAAATAGCAAGGATATTTTTAAAAATGCATGAACATGTATTTCAGCTTCTTCCTCAGAACATGTTAGAAAGTCAAGATTAAACTTAGAAAGGCAGTGACTAGAATTTGATCTCATTTTCTTCTAATCCAAAAATAGTATAGTGTACTGAATACTAGTCTTCGACTTACAACAATTCATTTAGTGACCATTCAAAGTTACAATGGCACTGAAAAAATGTGACTTATGACCATTTTTTACACTTACAACTTTTGTAACAGCTCCATGATCATGTGGTCAAAATTCAGATGCTTGGCAACTGGTTCATACTTAGGACCATTACTGTGTCCCAAGGTCATGTGATCCCCTTTTGCAACTTTTTGGCAAACAAAATCAGTGGGGAAACCAGTTTCACTTAACAACTGTGTTACTAACTTATCAACTGTAGTGATTCACTTATCAACTGTGGTCGTAACAAAGGTCGTAAAATGGGACAAAACTCACTGAATGTCTCAACAACATAAATTATGGTCATAAATCGAGGACTACCCGTATAGCCTATGTAAAGTATTCTCTTGGATATCTAATAACTAGAAATGATTAAACTGCAAGTATGCCTGCATCTTATAGCAGAATTTCCATTGATCTAGTGGTTGATCTAATCACACCTAGAGACATTCATATTATTAGCAAGGGCCCAGTGCTAAAATCTTGCTTAGCTTTTACCGGCAACTTTTTCAGCCAGGGCGTTGAAAGTAGAAGGCCTTGTCTATCAGATTGATTTTGCCTCTGTATTGGGCAAAATCCCTCTGCCAAGCAGCCCTGTTGCTCTCAAAGAAACCAGCTGGAAAAAGCCTGCCTACCCTTTAGAACAGGGGTGTCAAACTCAATTTCATTGAGGGCCGCATCAGCATTGCGGTTGCCCTCGCGGGAGGGGCGGGGTGTGTGGCTAGGGTGGGTGTGGCCTACTGGGTGGGTGTGTATGGAGTGGGTGTGGCCTATTGGGTGGGCATGGCCAGCTCTACATCGTTTGCGTCAAGGGGACCTGTAGGCCTGGACAGGAGTGGGACAGATCTGAGGGTCTCTGGCAGAAGGGGGTGGGACCGGGGCAAGTGCCAAGGCATGGTCCACTGAAGGAGCCTCACTGCCTGCTGAAACCCGTCCACCGGAGCCCATCAAGCTGGATATGTGAAGTAGGTGAGGGCCATTTGCTGGCCACTTCCAGGCGATGGTGCATTTTTTCATTCCTCACAAAGGGTGACACCTCCCCAACATGCACCCAGGGGGCGGGGCCGACATGGCAGGGGCTGGTTCCTCGCTGGTTCCAGATGGCCTTGTGGAGCTAAGACTGAATGCGTTTCAACATAGATGGCCACCACAAAATTGTACGTTGGCTCCCGGCTGGCCTAGGCCAGGGCCAAGGCAGAGGGGGCCGTTCCCTCACTGTTTCCAGGATGGCTTCGCGGGCCACATGAAACCACGGGCCGCATCTGGTCCCCGGGCCTTGTCTTTGATATGTCTGCTTTAGAACGATCCTGTTTCCTAGCTTTCCACTTACAGTCGTCTTTAGCAGGATAGGTGGCATACAAGTTTGAAAATAAATAAAAGGCCAGCAAACACAATATTTCTGAAGGGTAGAAAGGCTTTTTTTCTACTTTTCTGTTCAGAAAGATTGCATTTGCTAGCTTTGTGACTTGAAAGCTAGCGAATGCAATGTTTCTGAAGGGCAGAAAGCCTGAAAAACAGAAAGCTAGCTAAAGCAGTGATTCTAAAGGTTAAAAAGTCTAGCAAACAGAGAGGATGAAAACTGCTTCACCGGGCCAGAGAAAAGAAGCTCATGTCTTTGGAATCCGAGTTTCTTTTCTCTGTTCCAGCATAGCAATTCCCTTCTGTACCTGGAGGGAAGGCCTGTTCTCTTTGGCTTTGTCCACTTAAGGGACCACAACTGGGAGGTGCAGAAATTGCAGTCATTGAGCAAAGTGGTCACATGGATGCCTCTCTTAATGATTGCAATGACTTTGTTCATAAGTTGAGGACTAACTGTAGAGTAAATTTTACAGTTAAAATGTTTCATGTAGTTGCAATTTTATTTGTTATTTTTGTTAATTTTTTTCTATTAAAGGCACAGCTCTTAATCTACTTTTTTCAGCTTATGTTATGCTACAGCAGTCTTAGAAATTATAAGTGTGCATTGAACCACTGAATATTGACTCTGAAGGGTTTAGTAATTCATATGATAGATCTCTGAATATTTTTTTGTACTGTTCGGATCTTTGTCATAAAGCTAGAGCAGTGTTTCTCAACACTGGCAACTTTAAGATGCGTAGACTTCAACTCCCAGAATTCCCCAGCCAACACGCCTTAATATTGGTTGATATAAATTTCTTAGTGTATGTACAGATGACACAGTTATTTTGATTTTGTGTTTTAATACTATATTTTCCTTTTGACTTATAGTATAATTTGGATAAGGAAAAGGATCCTGTGGTTATTATTACTTCTACTACTGGTACAGGAGAGCTTCCAGATACTGCAATCAAATTTATAAAAGAAATTAATGACAAAAGTTTGCCATCTGATCACTTGTCTCATATACGATATGGACTGCTAGGTAAATGACTTATAAATTACTGTTCTCATGAGGAAAAAAAAAAAATCTGAGCTATGTATATCTTGTGGAGTAAATTAAATTCTTTTATTTTTGCCTGAAAAGTAGATTTTAAAAAATCTAAATAAAATAAAAGTTTCTAAAATAAAGAAACTAGGTAACATAAAATAAATCTTAGAGATAAAAATGAAATACAATTTAACAGCCTGTAAATAATAAACCAAATCCAATGAAACTTGAAACAATGTCATCGGTGTTCTGTTAAAGAATGATGGAAAAAATGGCTTTTATAAATAATACTTTAAATAGTGAAAGAGCAGCACGATTTCTCTAAAGGACAATTTTTATGTGCAAATTATAAAATACTTATTTTATTTAAAACATTTATATAGCTGCCAATCTTTCAGGTAACTCTGGGCTGCTCCCAAATATCACGTGTCATACAAAATATCTAAATGACACATAAATTTAAGTATTTCCATAACTTGTGTATGAAATTACTTCCATCTCTGAGCACTAAATAGTAATTTGCTGAAGCAACTTTATTTATCTCAGGATAGACACTGTTGCTTACCTGAGTCCTTTGATCCCCTTAATGCCTCTTCTGTTGGGATTAGATGTAGAATTCACCCCAGATTATTGTTTGGGCAATTTAAATGTTCAAAAATTCTTGAGTGTTGCCTACTCCCTCAGAAATACCTTGGACATCAAGTAGCTAACAAAGAGTGAACACAGTTCTTCCATACTGTAGAGCCCAAATTCAATTACCTGTCAATCAAGCCAGCTGTTTTAATTATTTTTGTTAGGTTTTCTTTTTCTTTTTAGTTAGCTAACTCAATATAAAGCTGTCCAACTCCCTCATGACTCTGGGCAGAGGACAACATTAAGAACAGTGGAAAACAATGTAATAAAGGACAATTATGTCTGGATAGAATGATAAAACACACAATGAACATATATATTTCCATAATATTTCCCTTCTCTCCCCCCATATGCTCTATCCAAAGCCTGCTTGGGAACAAAAGCAATTCTTTTTTAGAAAAAAAAATTATATTATTTTAAAGGACCATTGAGCAAAGACAAAATAGATAAAGGCAAGATAAATCTTGAGAAGGGGAATACTTTTCCAGAGGGCAGGTTCTACAATAGAAAAGCCCTTATTCCTGGGTTCCATTAGATGATACTGTTTGATCAGTGAGACTCAGAGCATGCCAACTCTATCCAGTTGTACTGCACTGGAGATAGTAATTCCTCAGACAGGCAGTGCCATGAAGGCTTTATAGCTAATAACCCACACTTTGAATTGCACATGGAAACTTGTGGAAACCAATGCAGGTCATGAAGAAGATGCTGCTGCATCATGTACCATTTGCAATTTACATATGGTCTTCAAGGGCTGCCCCAAGTAAAGTGCATTGCAGTTCCCTACGTGCAAGGTGACCAAGGAATAAGTCAGTGATTCAACTGCATATCACCTCCCAGCTGGCCTTCATCAACTAGAAGGAAATGATACTCATATTCCATCTTACTCCAAAAGGAACTCACCATTTCTGAAGTTATTTCTGGTTGGTTGAAGTATTTTGCCTAGAAGTTATCCTATTGTGTATATGGAATATATACTAATTTGATTTCTGTGGAGATCAAAAGTAACTGGAAGAAACTGAAGCTCTTCCATAGGCAGAGGCTGTAGAAAATTCCTTTGTATTTATAGTTGTTACTTAAATGATAGTGAACTTCTATAAACAGATGTCAAAAGATATATTTCAGCCAATCATACATCATAGTGTTGGAGTGATATTGACTAGGGATGACAGGTATTGGAATCTATGTCTAAGCTAATTGAGGAATTCTAATTAGAATTTCCCCAGTACAATCTTTACAGAGAAGTGTACTAGAATATAGATGTGATGTTGACTCATTCTAGGATTTTGGGATGGGGGATGTAGAGATGGGTTGTTTCTTGTTAGTTTTTTTTGTTTTTCTAATGCTTGAGTAAAATTTTAAATTCATTTTGGAATTCTTTGTCTATTTACATGATCTGGATGTCTGATGTGAGTTTAATCCTTAGTTTGATCTTCTCAGGTCTAGGAGACTCTGAATACACATTCTTCTGCAATGGTGGGAAAATAATAGACAAACGATTTCTGGAACTTGGGGCTCAACGGTTTTGTGAAGTGGGATTAGCTGATGATGCTGTAGGGTAAGAACCTAATTTTTTTCTGATAAGTTTTATTTTAATTTCTTTCCAACATACTTATATTTCATATAAATATGAAATATTGTTTTTACTTAAGTCAGTGTTTCTCAACCTTGACAATTTTAAGGCATGTGGACTTCAACTCCCAGAATTCCACAGCCAGCGTTGCTGGCTGTGGAATTCTGAGAGTTGAAGTCCACATGCCTTAAAATTGTCAAGGTTGAGAAACACTGACTTAATGGAATAATGCTGGTCCCATAACAACAAATGAGGGGGGGGAGGTTTAAAAGCCAGGAAAAATATGTCAGGAAGTTGGCTAGAGTTGACATGGCTTCATGCTACCCATGCTAGTCTTGACTCCTGGAACAACTGTGTTAGCACAAGTTAAAACTGAGATTCCCTCATCTCAATTGAGACAAGGCTTTGGCTGTTTTGCCTATTGGCAGAACTATTGTCATGGCCCATGACAGATTATAACTCTGAAGAAGTTGCTCCAGCTGAACCAGTGGAATGTCAGACACTAAGCCAAAATTACCTGAAGTTGATTAGATTTAGGCACCATCAGAATAGCCGAATGATTAAAGACAACTGGCTGCAGGCTGATTTAAGAGGCACCCATGTGTTTCTCCATTTTATTTCCTGCTGGGGCATGTCATTCCTGCGAATCCTGATTGCGAAACTCTAGCCTTGACTGGCTGATAAACCTGACTTGCCTCTCTGAAACTTTGGACTGGATTTCAACTACTCTTCTGCCCAATCCTATTGAAAGTGAAACCACCCAAAATCACCCTGGCCAGCTTTTTTTTCCAAGACAGTTTGTTGATTCACATTTCTTTCCTTATCAGCTATTATTTGCTGAGCCTGGAGTAAATTGTTTTCCTCACCTAGTGACTGTGAGTGTGAGTTTAAGAGCTAAAACAGGAGAACTGTTGAGCAGAAATAATACCAAGAACTCAGGGACAGCTGTCATCTTTATCATTTTACCTTGCTTCTATATCAAGGCTTTTCAACCAGTGGTACGGGTACCACCTGTGGTACATTGGCACCTGGCAGGTGGTACGCAACCATCCTAGAAAAGTGGTAGTGGGGGAGGGGAATGAGCTGAACCGGTGGCAGCACCACACAAGCCTGACTGAGAGGTGGCTGGAGCTGCAGGACTGTCAGGGCTCAGCGGAAGCTCCAGGATCAGCGCTTCTTCGGGACTGTCAGGGCTCGGTGGAAGTGCTAGGATCAGCACTAGGCTCCAGTTGGAGCTTGGCCCTGATCCTGGCCCTTCTGCTGAGCCCAGAAGAAGCACCAATCAGCTGGAATGTTGCAGCATCTCCAGGGTCTTGTGATTTACATTCAGATGCTTGGCAACTGATTCATATTTATGATGGTTACAATGTCCCAGGGACATGTGAAGTGACCAAAACCTGCTGCAACCACCCAGTAGATGGGAGGAATAAAAACCAAACACCCCCACCCCACCTCCGCTGCCAATCCTCAACAGAAATGCTCAGAACAATGGAAACCTCGGACAGGAGAAAGAGTGCTGCCAGGTAGGCAGGCAGGTGTCTTGCTTGGCTGTGGCTTGTGGGGCACTTTTTCCAGTGCCATTGTAACTTCGAACAGTCACTAAGTGAACTGTTGTAAGTCGAGGACTACCTGTACTTCATCACCTTTTTCCTTTTTTTTTGGTCATCAAGTTTTTGACACCTTGCTAGGCAACTGGTGGTACTCGGATATTGCCATATCCTAAAAGTGGTACAATGGGAGAAAAGGTTGAAAAGCCTTGTTCTATATCACGGGTGTCAAACTCACAGCATCACGTGACGTGTCGCAACGCATCGTGACTTTTTTTTTGTATTGCCGGAGCTGGGGTGGGCGTGGCCTCCGCATGATGCAACCGGCCAGCCAGCAATTTAACACCCGTGTTCTATATCAATTCCAGAAAAGGTTTGTATCTTGAGTTCATAAAGGTGAAGTTTGGGTGAGCTTGTAGAGAAAAGCAGGAAAGTTAGCTTTTCTTTTCTTTGCAACAGTAAGTTCTTATATCTTTCTTTGTGAAAATGCTCACATAAGAATTTCCCAAAAGTACGTTTTTTATTGTGGCATTTATGGGCTTTCTTTAACAGCAGCCAAGTAAATAATAGTTCTCGACTTAACTAGAATTGGAACTAGAATTTTGATCGCTAAGCGATAATAGTCATTAAGCAAGTCATTAGGTGACCAGATCCAATTTTATGATCATTTTACCACAGTCCTTAAGCAAACTAAGTTTTCCCAATTGATCTTGTTTGTCAGAAACTGGTTGGGAAGGTTGCAAATTGCAATAATATGACCATAAGAGTCTGCAACCATTGTCAGTTCAGGCCGGTTGCCAAGCACCTGAATTGTGATCATGTGGCCACGGGGGGATGCGATGATTGTATTATTGAGGGTGAGTCATAAGTCACCTTTTCTGAAGCCACCATAGTTCCAAACTGTCATTAAATAGTTGTAAGTCAAGGACTACCTGCAATAACTGTTGTTCTATTTAATTTAAAGACAAGCCTCTTTCAAGTCCCTAATCCTGGTGTCTGTAGAGAGATGTCTGTATTGCTTTCTGAGCAACAGAATGGAAGTGATTATCACTGTTTTCCTTCAGCCTAAAATCCCAGTCTGGTCTTCATCCAAGCAGCAACCACGGTCAACTCTGCTTATCTTCTGAGCAATGACAAATCATTTCCAGGTTATTGGCAAGCAAACTACATGGACATGACCATGAAGCCACCCTCAAGTCAAGACCAAGTCAAAAGAGATGATTTTGCCCTGATCTTTTCATTCATTTACTCTCTTTTATTTTGTTTCAGGTTGGAGCTGGTGGTTGAACCATGGATTGCTGGGCTTTGGGTTGCACTTAATCAAGAGTTTGCATCTAGAAAAGAAGACAAAAATGCATCTTTTTGTGCCAACAAGTTTTCTAATCTCTGTATAGGCGTCCAAGCAGAATGCTTGAACACTGAAGATTCCGGTGTGAAAAATAATGTTTCATCAAAAGAAAATATTGACTCAGAACGTCCTACTGAAAACTCTCAACCGTCACTTTCTTTCTCAGTGCGTCCACTCTCAAAGGCTACACTTAATATTCCTGCTTTGCCACCGGAATACCTAGAGGTGCAGCTTGAAGAAAGCCGTGGCCAGGTAAAGTCTCCCATATTAAAGATATTATAGCCATAAATACCTCAGAATCTGGAATCTTGAATTTTGCTTTAGAATTCATGCTAAACATATAGAAGAGTCTTTACAATTCCTATGTGTTTCTAAAATTATAACTGAGCAGCTGATAAAACAAATCAGAAAAACATGGATATTAACATGAATTCTTCAACATCAGCCTGTCTTATTCAGACTTAAATAGATCTTTAATAATTAAGTTTTTTTTTCTTGCAAGTTAGTTTGCAGTCCTCTAATCCCTACAAAGTAAGGACTAGAATTCAGCAAAGTCTAGGTCAGAATGAGAGGTGGTCCCTTGGAGTGGGGAAATTGTGCCGAGATTCCTTGTTCTACCACCTATTAAAAGCAAGTTTGGCCTTTGCTCCTTTGATATTTGTATTCTAACAGAGGAAAAGGCTTAAAATACATGGCTGTCATGTGAAAATGAGGGCGACACATGTTCCAGCAGGTGGAAAATAAATACTCCATGTTGAAATATGTGGCCCTAAAAGGGCTTTATTTGGGTGGATTATCCATCAAGTGTAAATATCAAACATCTGTGTAATTATTTCTTGTAGTTAGTTCTTTGAATTAAACCTGTGTCAATTTATTTGCAGAATGCCAGCCTACTTTATACTTCAGAGAACTCCATTTATCGTGTTCCTGTCACCAAAGCCATTCAACTTACTAGGGATGATGCAGTTAAAAAAACGTTGCTGGTGGAACTGGATATTTCTGTAAGTTGATGGATGTTTTTGATACTTCAGCTGTTATTGATAAACATAGAACTGCAGTATGTATTTCAATGTGATGTATTGCTAATCAAAGCTTCAGCAAGCAAACTCTGCTTTCTCTGCACTGGTTTATTTTAGATAGTTGGCATTCAGTGTTCACTGGGCAATTAAATCTGATGTAGGGTTTCCTCACTTGTGTGTATGCATGTAAAGGAGGTATTCTAAAAGCGTCTTTGATAATTCTCTAAATTATGGAATTTGATAATCTTTCCTATTAGTTGGGTAATAAGTAAAACAAAACCCAGCAAATGGCGCAGTTTAGAAATTAAAACAAGGGCAAAGCAAGCGGGATAGGAGGAGCTGGATCTCAGTATAGAACTTGTCTAAACTAGGCTGATATTAGAGGATCTAATTAATCTTTTCTTGGAAGTGAGTATGGGAGGGTAAATGGAGAAGCAAGCTGGGAAAAGGTAAGGAAAACGGTATAGAGGGTAAAAAGGAGGGCTAGTCAGAAAACACTTCTTAATGCTGACTTGAATTTAATCACAAATGTATTGGCTAGCAGTGTTTCTCAACCTTGACGATTTTAAGGCATGTGGACTTCAACTCCCAGAATTCCACAGCCAGCAACGCTGGCTGTGGAATTCTGGGAGTTGAAGTCCACATGCCTTAAAATCGTCAAGGTTGAGAAACACTGGGCTAAGGCTTCACTGTTGATAGGTTTATTTTGTAGGAAAAGTAAACAGGACAAGAACAGCAGAAATGTAATACCTAATTTGGGCAATTCAATAAAAAGAATTAGAATCAGTATTCCAGATGTGGAATCTGCCACTGAAGTGAGGGAAAGAGTTTAAATAACTGGCTACCCTAGAATCGCTGAAGGGGAGGAAATGATGGAGACCAGACCTGTCCCCCATCCCAAACCTTGAAGTGCATATCTAGATGTTCTGTAGTGAATGCAGTTAGTTTGGTGAGATTCCTATAAATAGGTAAAATGGCAATGTACACACTTATCTGATAAATTTTCAGTGTCATTCTGGTTGATTGTTCCTTTAGTGCATCTATGATTATGTTAGAAGAAACAGAAAAGGTTAAAGACAAATATTCCAGTCTCTGGGAAGGACTCAATAAGTTGATAAAAATGCAAAATCCAGTCTAAATATCTGGCTGATTGTACAAATAATAATAATGATAATGATAATAATTTGAATACAGGAAACAACATTTAACTACCAGCCTGGAGATGCCTTTAATATAACTTGTCCCAATAATGCACTGGAGGTGGAGGAACTTCTTGATATTTTGGGACTCTTGGGAAAAAAAGATCATTTTGTTTGCTTAAAAGTTAAGGAAGGCACTAAAAAGAGAGGTAAGTTATATGTCAGTTTTACAAGGCATATTATGCTACCTTTTCAGAAGTAATGTAATCTCGTGAGTTATATTCCTATTTTTGTCTGGAGACTGTCTTTCATTAATTTATATAATTAAAATAAACAAACATTTTTATGCTTTTTTTTATTTACAACAATGCATGCTAGTTCAAATGCCATCAGCAGATGACATTTGATGAGTTTGTAGGTTTGGCTATCCCCTCAAATGTTTGTGTGAATCATTGCATTATTTTTGCTGTTAGGTTTATTTACAGCTTAGTCCTGTGTTCATATATGTGTACACTTTTATCCAACTTACAAGTTTATTCTCTATTACATAGACTTGAATTTATAAACTTAATCTTATTTTTGTTGAATTTATTTGAATCTTTTAGGAGCTCTTTGCGGGACTCCTTATTCTGAATAAATGTAGGTACACTGCAAACTTTTATCAAAAGCATCCTTTCAGAAGTCAGATCAATTTACATAAAATTGCCTTGCCTGGGTATAAATTGGAGGGGACATAGAAACGCCCTTGGGACAATGTCCGTTTATCTCTGATTCATAAGAAACTGTTCTCTTATTCTGTCATTGCTAAATAAAAGAAAGATAATCCTTTCATAACTGAAATCTGGGATCTGCTTGGGGTATATACTAAATTATTTGTTCAGCATCTCAGTATCAGTCAAATAGTTAATCCACAAAGAAAATAATCTCAATCTCCTTGCTCAACTGGGTGCCGTTAAACTATTTTGGAACTTTGACTCCCAGAATTCCACAATGGCTGGAATTTGGGGGATGCTGTCACAGCAATGCTGGAGCATTCCAAGTTGGGGAACATCATTCCAGGAATTTTCCCTGGGGGTTTCTTTCCTTCCCGAACTTTACATTCTAAGATCCCTTCTGAAAAGATACATTCTTAGGACATTCTTTTATCCAACTGTAATACAAATGGATTTCCACTCAGACATAGAACTTCCCATTGATCTTTTTTTTTTTTTTGCACACCCATAAAATCTGCTGTAAAAGCTCCTTTCAGTCTGGCATCAAAAGATGCTGAGACTCTAGAAAGAGTACAGAGAAGAGCAACAAAGATGTTTAGGGGACTGGAGGCTAAAACATATAAGGAACGGTTGCTGGAATTGGGTATGTCTACTTTAACGAAGGGAATGATGAAGGGGGGACATGATAGTAGTGTTCCAATATCTCAGGGGCTGCCACAAAGAAGAGGGAGTCAAGCTATTCTCCAAAGCGCCTGAAGGCAGGACAAGTAGCAACGGATGGAAACTAATCAAGGAGAGAAGCAACCTAGAACTAAGGAGAAACTTCCTGACAGTTAGAACAATTAACCAGTGGAACAACTTGCCTCTAGAAGTGGTGAATGCTCCAACACTGGAAGTTTTTAAGAAGAGACTGGACAGCCATTTGTCTGAAATGGTATAGGGTTTCCTGCCTGAGCAGGGGGTTGGACTAGATGACCTCCAAGGTCCCTTCCAATTTTATTATTACTATTATTTAGATACAAATGGACCTCACTGGATGCAAACTATCTGCAATTGATCTTGTTAAGTTTTAACATTTATGCCGAGAACCCTTCTGCATGTGGTACTTGAGGAAGTGTTTCAGGGAGGATTTTCTGTTTACCCCTCAGGATTATCCTCTAAGAGTTTTGGGCTTGTCGATTACGAGCATGCTCACTGCAGCCCTCAGAATATATGGGCAAATTATATCCCAGGGCCTGCTTTATACTACCTGATCCAAAGGAGTTGGATTGCTTTTTAGATTGCCAAGTAATTATACAGAAGATGAAAGTTTTTCTATATGGTCTCTGTTTTAATTTATGTTATTCTTTTAAAATAGGAGCAACATTGCCACAGTATATACCAGATAAGAATACTGTTAAATTTATTTTTACATGGTGTCTGGAAATCAGAGCAGTTCCCAAAAAGGTATTTTTCCCATTTAATTTTTCTTATAGTCATGTAGTCAGTAACTATAATTCTTGGTACACAGCAAGATTCGCTTTGAGTCTAGACCAAATGCCATTTTAGTTTGTCTCTGTACTGCAGCTGTACTGTCTGGTTTTCAAATTAAATGTCTTCAAAAGCTGATGTGTTGCTTACTTAACTGTCTAGCCAAGTTGATTATTGCCTGATGTTGAGAAAAATGCATCATCATTCTTACTTTTTTCTTTTTATCTTTCATGGGCAATACAGTAAATGTATAAATAGTTGCATATACTAAATGAAATAATTTTATATCCCTTCAGAATCAGGAAATATTTCTATGAATACTGTAACAAAAAAAAGATTTGTCTCTTTTTTGCACTGAATAAAATTACTATTGTGGAGTTCATAGTAATAATCAATTAACTACATGTTTGAATAATGCTGTTTTTGTGTGAGCAGATAATATTACTTTTTCAATTAAATAAGCTGAGTCTGAATACCCAGTGTTTAAATTGTATGTCTGCAGATGAACATTTTGTGATATTTTTTCTGTATAATCCACTAGATGTCATCACCTAACAATCTATGGAGACTTCTATTTACTGACAGTGTTTCTCAACTTGTTTACATTTTATATATTTATAAAAGCACAATGTATATTAAATTGTGTTTATTTCTCATTTATTTTTATGCGCTTCTATAGTTTTAATGTAATTTGTTAGTGTTAAACATGGGTTGCTTCAAACCCAATTCTTATCTGTTTCCTTTTGGTTTGGGGATCTATTTATTATGACTAACATTATGAAATTGAGTAGTAAGACTATATTTTAAATAGTGTAGGTTAGTTTTGTTAACTCATGGTCAAGTCTGAATTATTTGTGTATTTATTTATTAGGCATTTCTGCGCTCTTTGGTAGAATATACCACTGCTATTAGTGAAAAAAGAAGACTTCAAGAATTGTGTAGCAAGCAAGGATCCTCGGATTATAACTCTTTTATAAGGGATTCTAGAGTTAGTTTATTAGATTTGCTCCAAGTTTTCCCAACTTGCAAGCCTCCACTTAGTCTTTTGATTGGTGAGTCTTTTTTTGGAATGTTTCAACTAGAGAAAACAAGATACTAAAGATTTATGTATTTAGAAGTTGACATGCTGTCCACTTTCCAAACAAGCTTAGCTGAATGACCCTAATAAATTTTACACCATGACTTGTCTTGCTGTACGAGTTATATATTCCATACTAAGTTGTACATCTGGAACAATAACTTAAGTTATGGAGCTATGAATTAGAACATTCCTATCTTTAAGCCTCACCCTGTACTCATTTTGTAATGTTTATTTATTTATTTATTTATTTAAAGGTTTTTACAGACCACCTGCACTCATACGGGATTACAATCAAAACAAAAAGAGAGCCACAAAATTCATAGTCTAATTAATTAATAGCTTTTTTACTTCAGTGCTCAAATGCCTGCAGGAAGATAAGGTCTTCACTGCCTTTTGAAAGGCAAGATGTTTAAGAGAAGTTCTTATGTTCAGAGTCTGTTGGCAGTCATAAAAAAGTGCATCAATAGGCTTCGCCCAGTTCATACAGCATACATACCCTTCTTAAGAAACTGAATGGGGCAAATGAGTGGTTTTATGTAGATATTAAATAATATGGAAAGGAGGACCAAGCACCATAATGGAATAATTATAGGCGCAACTATTATTTCCTCACACATACTCTTAACTGGAATTGCCATTTACTTAGTCTGGAACCACCAAAGAACAGTTCTACCAAATCCCAACAATTATAGATAGTCCAGAAGTTAGTTGGCTGTATGTAAGCTGACAACTCAAAAATGACTCTGGAATTGCCTTGTTAATGATAGAGAATGCTGCCAAAAGATCTAAAGAGATCAGGAAAATTGCACTCTCTCCATACAGGTCTTGAGAAAAATCATCCGCCATTGTAACAAAACCATTTATATACTGACTGTAAATGATCCAGATAATCCATTTGCTTTAGAACCATCCCTCTGTAACCTGACACCCATTACCAGAGACATCAGCAGGGCATGATGTTTTTTACCAAAGGAACAGTATTCTATTTTTGCAATACAAATTCTCTCCTTTCATACATACATACTCAGGGTTATGGCACATAGAGAAAAGAGGTTTACAGCATAACACTTGTTTTCCCCTTGACAATCCTTCTACAGATCCCTCTGCCCACCACAGAACATTGGAGATCAACCAGTAGTTGTCTCAATGACTGAATCAAGCAGTACCTCTTCAGGAGGGAATATATCACTGCTTCTTTCATAGTGTTGATACCACCTCTCTCTTAAACCCAATTAATCATCTCCCCAATCCAGCAATTGAAAGCCTGCCCAACTGTATTGAGTATAAATCAAGCTTAGAGGTGGTATTAGATATAGTGGTAGTATTATTGGACTTCTATATAGGAATGTTTATAAAAATTGCAATCAGAATACAATATACAGAATACTTCAGAATGTGTATGCAATATGCTTTATGCAAATACCTAATTATTAGAAGATTTTGTTGTTGTTTTGTTTCTGTAAATAGATGAGAGAGGATTCAAGGCTAAACCTTTATACTCACAGGTTTGTTCCTTTTCAGAACATCTTCCAAAGTTGCAAGCCAGACCCTATTCAGTTGCAAGGTAATGTAATTACATTTTAATTGTGAACTGGAAGTGTTTTCCATTTGTTTAAATGGATCCAATCCTTTTCTGGTTGGAGAAGGTAACTGGGAAGTTAAATTGAAATCTTGGAAGTGTACTAGCTTAACAATTGAAGACTGGAGGTCATTTCTATGTATACTTCATTAGATTTCTTGTGGTTTGTTTCTCAGCACTAGTAACAGCAGAATGAATAGGCGTCTTTGCTAAGCATTATCTCTGTTTTGGAAGTTCCTATTTGGTTTGTTGTGGCTCATTTGTCCTGGCAAACCACTGTTTCAAACTAATTCAACGTGGAGCCAAGTCTCAGGCCTTTGAATTACAAAGTTGTTAGCCTGTAGCAGCACCTTCATGGTGTGTGTTTGTGATTCCTCAGCCGTCTTTCTGCAAGGCTAATCATTGGAATTCTGATATACCATGCAGAGCAACTGAACAGTATAATCAGAGAGCTTTTGGGGACTGTCTTTCCTATTAACTGTCGTAACTGACCACATTTATTTATTTATTTATGAGACTTATATACCGCTTTAAGTGCAAGCACTCTCTAAGCGGTGTACACCAGTAAGCAATGTATATATATATTTACATTGCCCCCAACAATCTGGGTCCTCATTTTACCTACCCCGGAAGGATGGAAGGCTGAGTCAACCTTGAGCCGGTGACATTTGAACCGCTGACCTGCTGAACACAGTCAGCTAAAGTGGCCTGCAGTACTGCACCCTAACTGCTGTGCCACCTCGGCTCATGCTTTCAGCCTCAGATTCCTATCTGGAATATTGGACAATAATAATATCTTATCATTCTGAGAATAAAAAGAGACTTATAAAGCGCACAGCAGCTTAACTGTTGACAGAATACTTTATTATTATTATTCAACAGAACATTTGGTTTTTCCTTTGACTATTTCATTGCAGTTCGACTTTGTTTCATCCTGGAAAGATGCATTTCATCTTTAATATTCTGGAGTTTCCATCCCACCTAGGTGAGCTGCGAAGAGGGGTCTGTACCGGTTGGCTAGCTGATCTGGTTGCCCCAGTCCTTCAGGTGAATCAGAAGAGCAAAGAATTCTTCTCTCCACAGGTATTAACAGTTGATAAAAAGCTTATGTTTCGCGAGGCACAATCTGAGAAAATAATTGCTTCCATTCTTAACATAGTGGTTTGTGATTGGTAGTAGCAGTTATAGAATATAATTTTAGGGTCCTATGTAAAGAGATCGTTCTACTAGCAGACCTGGTTCTGAAAATGGAAACTTCCACTCCTGAGGGCCAGAATGTTGGAATATTATGGAAGAAGTTTGGATGGATTTGGGAGATGGGAAGATGAGGATGGATGAAAATAAAAGCCAAATCATAAAACATTGTAGCAATTAAGTGTAACAACTATCTGATAATCATTTTATGATTAATGTATACTGATTTGGGATTGTTGATGAGAAATATATTATAATTTACAAATTACACATGTTTATTATAATTTTAAAAATAATTTGTATAAAATGATGTACTGTTGGTATGTGACACTACAAAAACTTTCTAGAATGTATAGCAGTTCTTCAGACCTAACTTGGAAATGTGGAAAACATTTTATCATGCTTGGTGGACTTGTAAAAAAGCTAGAAAATTTGGGGTTTAAATAAAGAGTGTTAAAGATTAATATTCAACTGAAACCAGATACTTTCTTACTGGATTAATGGATAAATAACTAGAAAAGACTTATGGAGGATTGTTTTTGTACATAACATCCACAGTGAGACTGTTATATGAACAAAGATGGATAGACATATCCAAATGAAATACCCAAAATGGAGAAATAGTTGGTAAATATAACAGAATTTCCAGAAATAGCAAAATGACTTACTTGGTTAGAGAAAACACAATGCTTACATTTGTCAGTGACTGGAAATCCTTTTTACTGAAAATGGAAAAAAATGAATTTGTGATTCATAGTTTGATATCTAGAAAAGGTAAAATATGGAAAGAAGAGAGCCGGGATGTAATCTTAGAGACAGGAAAGTTTACAATGTATTTATGACTGCTGTAAAGAAGATTGATAGCCAATCCTTCAGCTCCTTTTTCCTTTTTTTCTCTTTTTACTAACCACGTTTTCTTTTTCTTGATTTTCTTTTTCTTGTCTTTAAAATATTTCTTTAATAAAAATTAAGTAAAAAAAAGAAAGAGCGTAATAATAATAATTCTGCTGAAAGAGTATATAAATAATCTTAAGAATTTCAGAATTCGTTTGAAGGAAACAAACCACTTCTAGTGACAAGAATCAACTTGCAACCATATGAAGTGCTTTATGGCCAAAAGGGAAATGGCAGTCATTTAAAAAAGAAATTATTTCATGACATCAAGTATTTGCTAAAGAAACAGCAGGGATCTTTGCAGCTATATGAAAAATGCTTATAATGACACAAGCCTTTCATTTGTTACATTAACAGAAACTATGTTTTAATAGAAGAGAGGCCTGTGACTTACTGTTCTTTTGTCTGCGACCTTTTTAACAATCTATCATGATTGTTCCTTTCAAAATGTAGAAGCAACTGTCACACCATGCTGTGGTAGAAAATGTCAAAGACAAATGTTGCATTTGGTAAACCAATTTCTGTTGTTAGAAATTGAGTTTCTGTCATCTTATTTCACCTTCTTTCAGTAGAAATCATTAATTATTTCGTACTTTAATCATTCCTGTGTATCTTTTTTTTAAAAAAAAAATAGAGTAAATCAGGAATCATGCCTAATCACTGGGGGAGAGGGTATTGGTTTGTACGTTTTCTTGAGTTTCATTTTAATTGCATTTTAGATCAACATAACGCCTCGCCTATCGAATGTTTTCCACCTACCAGACAACCCATCTGTTCCTTTTATTATGGTTGGTCCAGGAACTGGAATTGCACCATTTATCAGCTTTCTTCAGCATAGGCAAGTCTTTTAAACATGTCAGTCTGTCACCAACAACCTACTTTCTAGCTTCTGTTTGATGAGTGGAAACGCTCTGAAAATCTTTACCTGAATATGAACAATCAGATTCTGATTGTATGTCATGGAGACAGAGTCCTTTGTCTCATGAGGCATGTCTTCTATGTCTTCTATGCAGGGCTTTTTTTGTCATAGAACGCCCAGAACGGAGTTCCGGCACCTTTTTTGGATGGAACCTTGTAGGATAGGCAAGGCGGGTTGTATGACGTGTGTGTGTTCTGGCACTTTTTTTTTTTTTTTTTTTTTTTAGAAAAAAAGCACTGCTTCTATGAATGAAATCTTCAACCAGTCCAATTGTATTATTAGAGAGCATAATGTTAAGCTATGGGGAATTGCTGGCTTGGGAGATCTTGTTTTTCGTTAGAGGTTTACATTTGTTTTTATTATTATTCTGTTGCCTTCAAGTGATTTTTTTTTTATTTGTCATCTTTTTCCTTTTTTGAAAAATTCTCCCCCATCCCACTATTAGTAGTTTAGTATAGGTTTTAGGAGGGGGGTGTTTGCTTTTTTTCCCCCTCTTGCTACATAGCTGTTTTTATTAGCAATAGCACTTAGACATATATACCACTTCACAGTGCTTTATAGCCCACTCTAAGCGGTTTACAGAGCATATTGCCTCCAACAATCTGGGTCCTCATTTTACCGACCTCAGAAGGATGGAAGGCTGAGTCAACCTTGAGCTGGTAAGAATCAAAATACCGAACTGCTGGCAGCCGGCAGTCAGCAGCAGTAGCCTGCAGTACTGCATTCTAACCACTGTGCCACCATGGCTCTATAGCAACCTAAGTTTCTATATATAGTCTTTTTACACTAAAGTAATATATTGCTGTAGTACTATTTACTGTAATTTATAAGAAGTAACATAAATTAATAATTAACATGGTAGTGTTTTTAAAGATTAATTAAATTGTATGTTTTAAAAGTGTATAAAAGTATATGCAGTCTCATTGCATGCTTCTTATATGTAATGAATGGTGAAAAGGAGACCAACCTGGATTAAACTATAGTATTCCCAATTAATCATATCTGTGATAATGTCTGTTTTTCTCCTCTTCACTTCAATTTTACCACAGGTTGCCTTTCAAATATGAATTTGATCTGACCTTGTTTAACTTTTGAGCTAAGCCAGATGGGCTAGATGCTAGTTAAGCAAAATAGAACCCCAATATCTTATTTCCAGTTCATCTTGGTTAATAGATTACAACTATACTAAATGAAATATTCAAGTTACATGTTTGTATGTGGGTCTATACATATGTTTTTCATAGTACGTTTAGGTGTATGTCAGGTATGTGTTTCACTTTGAGAGCAGGCAACTAAATTTCATTTTTGATGTGTGCCGTTGTGCCCAGAATAAAAAAATGACAATAAAGGTGATCTTATTTTATCTTATCTTATCTTTGCATACATTGTTATTTCAGGAGCATTTTATGCAAATTAGGGAATAAAAGCTTCATATTAGTTTTGTTCGCTGTGATAGTATGTTATGATCATAGATGCTTGGAAAGTTGCTTGGATTAGATTGGTTTCAACTTACTGCATTTCTTTTTAGTATGTCAAAGGTTCTTTTATTGGTTGATGTGAGCTTCAGCTTTTTAAACATCACATCAGTTATGCTTGAAGACGATAACTGTCAAAGCTGAACTGTAGATGTGCAGAATATCCTAAGTTCAATATTTGACCCTTTTTTTCATTCCAAACACATTGCAATTTATTCATTTAATTAACATGAGTTTACCACATCAAACTTTACACTTCATTTTGTAATATAGGGAAGAGTAATAAAGAGTTTTCTAGAAAACTAACTGTATGTGGAGCATGAATTGAATGGTTGCCATGCCAAATGACTTTTAAAAACTGAGTCATAAATTCATAGAATAGCATTAATTGACATAACCAGGCACTGCCCTGGAAAATGGAGAGGCAACAGATTGGCTGTCATTACTGTTAATAATGCAAGTCAGTACTTAACAAGCTGCTGGGACCAATTTGTTCCATATTATTGAAATAGCCAATGCACGTTATATGCAGCTATAAAACGAGTAAAATGTTGATTTAGTTACAACAGAAAGCATTTCAGGGTTATAAGGCCATTCTGATCCGATAATGGACTGAATGAATATCAAGTAGGAGAAGTAGGACCTACGTTAATCTACGAGAAATATGTCTAAAAGCCCCTATTTATTGAAACACTACAGCATTGTGTTTAATTGACTTAGTGTATTTCTACAATTATAAATATAGTTGAATGTAGACAATGAGGTACACCTGTTCCTCAGGTTTCAACAATGAACCATAAAGTATTGTTTAGATAGGTAGGTTTGTGGATGGTATTTGTAATTCCCAGACTTGAATTTTACTGAATATTTGTGGAGAAATCTCAGAATATTTCTAAGCTAGAAGAGTTCTTAAAGGAAGAATGGGGGGGGGGGGAATCCAAAAGAAATCATAGATACTTAACTATAAGAAAAAAAAAATCCAAGCTTCTGCCAAAGGAGATGCTGCATAGTACTAATCTGAAAGGATGTCCAAACTGCTGAAACTGTCATATTCACTTTTTGTTGTTCTGAATCTGTAAATTGCTACACTAAATAGTATATGTTTATTTAAAATTGCAGAAAGGTTTTAGCTTGTGTTAGCTTTTCTTCATTTAGGGAGTCATTGAAACGTGCAGTCTGATGAGTACTTAAACTTTTGCACACAATGATACCTAATTCTAGATTAGCACAGATTTATTGGTAAATGGACTGATTGAACAAGAGTTTCAATTGGCTCTCAGATTCTAGGTGTAAAGTTTTGCTGTAACCTGTATACCTTGCTACCATAATTGAGGGCCTTGTAAGTGCAGAACAGTAATTTCATTGCAATGGGAGTCTCAGATCCAGAATCCTTCACAATGCTGTGCAGGTATAATTCTTCTGTACAATTTATATTAATAATGGAAAATATGGGTTACTCTTTGTATGTAAAAAAAATATTTTGCTACAAATATTGTAAATTTTAGGTTTATAATCTGTTTCTCCTTCAGGACCCAATAACAATTTAACTTTTCAGATAGAAGCTATGCATAATCCGTTTCATAACTGTATTATTTTTAATTGGATATTTTATTTAGGCAGAAGCTCAGAGAAAAGCACCCAGATTATAAGTTTGGAGAGATGTGGTTGTTTTTTGGCTGCCGCTATAAGGCCAGAGATTACTTGTTCCAGTAAGTTTTTCTTCTGCTCCTCGTTAGGAGCATTTTAACATTCAGCTGTTGTCCATTGGAACCATAATTTCTTCATTCCAACCTCTTTTTTGGTTTTCTCTTTCAGAGATGAGCTCAGGTGCTTTCTTGAAAGTGGCGTGTTAACTTACCTGATAGTTTGCTTCTCAAGAGATGTTCCAGCTGTAGCAGAAACCGCCCCTCCTAAGTATGTTCAAGATAACCTCCGGCTTTATTGTAAAGAGATTAGTAGGATTTTGCTACAGGAGAAAGGATATTTTTATGTGTGTGGGTGAGTAATGCTGAATTTTTATAAGCGTCGGATATGCAAGAATGTGTTAAAACAGTTTGCGTCTGTAAGCTTAGCATGTAAAAACACAAACCTTCAGGCTTTCATCACTGGCAATACAAAAAGTGAGTGCAAAATAATATAAAACCCCGAAATCAATGAGAAATCCAGGTGTTTTTGCAGTTATGACTTTTTTTAAAGACAAGGAAATCCTGGAGGCAGTTTTCATTACTGCTCTCAGTGGGAAGATGACAGGCTAACAATAAAAGTTGCTTGAAAGACTAAAGAAAAATGAATGATAAAGAAGAGCAAGTATTTCTGGCTTAATCTTGTTGAGTCAAAATAATAGAGAAATCAGGTTACAAGTTAAGGCAAGTAAGGGGGCTAGGATGCAGAGAAAAAAGACAAGATTAAATGACCCTAAACAGGCTAAAAACACCAGTTACAGAAATCTGTCTCTTGCATCATACTAATATATAGGTACTGAGAATTAAGGAGAAACTTCCTGACAGTTAGAACAATTAGCCAATGGAACAACCTGCCTCCAGAAGCGGTGAATGCTCCAACACTGGAGGTTTTTAAGAAGAGACTGGACAGCCATTTGTCCGAAATGGTATAGGGTTTCTTGCCTGAGCAGGGGGTTGGATTAGATGACCTCTAAGGTCCCTTCCAACTTTACTATTATTATTATTATTATACTTGTTCATTTATTTATTGAAGAAAATGATTTGAAGTTATATGTTTGTGTATGGTAAAATATGTGACTTTTTAGTAACTGATGTGCCTGCCTTGGCAGCCATATCTGCAACTAAATGTTCCTGAGAACTGTTGATTAGTCCTGCATATCAGCTTGCAAGGATTTTAGTCGATTTCTTCTTATAAAACACCTTTAACTCAGGAGTGTTGGATTAAAATCAAGACTTGGACTTGACCATTCAAACATTAGCTTTCTTCTGCTTGAAATATTTATTTATTTAATTTGCTGTCTATCTTGCCACAAAGTTGTACAATTTTGGGGGGTTGTAGAATTTTAATATTTTGGATCATTGTGTTGCTACATGACTCACTTTCGCTTGAGTTTCAGTTCATGGACACACACAGACATGCACTCTGGCATTTTCCTGTAGAATTTTCTGGTAAAATTCAGAATCCATCCATGGTGGCAACTTCTCTTGGTCCAGAGGCAGCGAAACGGGCTCAAACGATGATAATGCCACCGCCATGAGATGGGATAAGGTTCTTCTGCTTGATTGCAGTCTTTGTCTTTCACCAAATGTAATGCTTTTCATCAAAGCCAAAAAGTTTTATTTTGGTTTCATCTATCCACAGAACATTCTTCCTTTAGTCTTCTGGCTTATCCACATGATCTTTCACAAATGGTAGACAGACAGTGATACTCATTTTTGGAGAGTAGGGTCTTTCTCGCAATCTACACACCCCATTGTTGTTCAGTGTTCTCCTGATGGTAGTCTCATGAATACTGACATTTGCCAATGCAAAATAGGCCTTCAGTTCCTTAGATATTCCCCTGGATTTATTTGAGACCTCCTAGCCAAAACCCACTGGCAGCCTTGCACACCAGAAGGAAAAAAAAACTTTTGGAATAGTGTAGCACTTTTGATCGCATCCCACCTCGTTCCATATGAGTTTGCCCAAGAGAATCTCCAATCAACTGGACCTCAGTGTAAATTACTATAACATGATATTGATAAATTATATATGTATCAATAGTTAAATGTTTGACATATATGAATATATGGACATTTTTATAAATAGCAGGTTTTTCCTGAACATTTTAAAAACCTAGAAATAAGGCAGGCAGGTTACAACTCTGAAATGACACTCCAAAAAACCAAACATGTAAAGCGGTTAATTTTAGTTTTTAAAGTCTGGTTATTAAAAGAAGTATATTGATACCTATATTCAGAATTTTGCAAAGTGAGAACTAGAGAATTATACCTTGCCATTTAATACCACCATTGGCCTGTTTGAAAGGGACTGTGTTGTGCTGGACTTAATGCAATATTTAACAGAATATTTAATTGATTTCTTTTAACCCTCATAGTCTGTGGTCTTTGCTATTTGATAGCAATACTGTATGGACTGTTGTCTGTGTTACTATTTTTTTATTCTTTTAATGCCCCAATAATCTCTTGCATTGGGGTAGAGTCAGGGCGACTAAATGGAGCTGAGCTTTTACTGTGGCTGGATGCCCTTCCTGACACCTACGCAGAGTTCACAGCAGATATTTTCTCTTTGGGCTCAGAGGGAGAAATAACTGCTATCTAGTTTCAGCTCACAGCCTCCTGATTGTGAGGAGAGAGCTCCACCTCTAGGTCACCACACAGCTCTCTGTGTTAAAATCTATTTAAATCAATTACAACTGTTTTTTCTCTTCCTGTTTTTTTTTTTAAAGAGATGCAAAAAATATGGCTAAAGATGTGAATGATATTCTGGTGGAAGTCTTCATGACTGAGAAAGGAGTTGATCAGCTGGATGCATTGAAAATACTGGCTACGTTAAGAGAAGAAAAAAGATACCTGCAGGATATCTGGGCCTGAACACTAGCTTTTGAATTCACTTGATCAATATAAATAATAATCTTTTCAGTGCCTACTTCTGTCAGTAATTTTCTCTCAATTATTTGAACTGTTTTCTAGGGCTATAACAAAGAAAAATATATCATTTCCAAGAGATTTGTCACAGTACAAGTGGCTTTAAATAAATGATGCCACATTTCCATCAAGATAGCGTTTCATTTTTCTCTAAAGTTGATCAATGTAACTTTGCCTTAGATTTGAAAATATGGCATAGATGGTATTATATGTCTCTACAGTATTTTCTTCAGCTATTAACAAATGGAGGGGATTTTTTTTAACAAAAACTATTGTATGCTATGTACAATATATAGAATATCAGAGATGTTATTCATTTTTCAAGCCTAGTCTTTCTGCCTTTGAAGAAGAAAAACTACAATGAAAAATTACAGAAAAAGTAGTTATTTTTTATAAGTTCTTATTTATAAATACAGCTGGACGACTTGTTATTAATTGAATGGTTTTTACTAAATGTACATCTAAATCAGGGGTTGCCTTGGCTCCATCCTTTTGTTTTGACAGTGCCCTCTTTTGGGAACAAATTATGAAAATAAATTTGGGTTTGATATAATATAAAGCAAATATTTTTCATGAAAATGAGCCACAATCCTGAACAGAATTGGCTACCACTTGATGATGGGCCTAAAGCCCAGTTTTGCCCAGTTAATGTTGTATGAACAGTGTTTTGTTATGAGGAAAAAAACCCTATATATTAAATTTCCTTCTCATCTAAACATGATCAATGAAATGGCCATGATTAAATGTTGAAAAATATATGCCTATTTGAAACATTTTTCTTAATTTCACTCACGAAGCCCAATTTTCTAAATTAGTGGCTGTAGGGGTATAGGTAATCACTAAGCGCATTTTGTACAATATGGCACATTTGGTTAGAGTTAGGTTTTCACTGCCTTTGTATGTTGCATGAACCTAGCCTGCTTGGCTAGCTCACCATTCAAGGTATTGTGGAAACCAGAAAAATGAACCACTTTGGTAATCAGATAAAGCATATTGTGTGAACGGTCCTTCACTGAATTTAGCTTTTAAGAGAAACATGTGCAAATCATTCCATATTTCATTTTACTTTTATTTTAAAAGACAACTGCTGCTACTTCAAAAGTGATTTAAAAATCCTTCATTTTTCCACTGTAGTTCGGAAAGATAGTCCCATAGTGACTTGTCAAAACCCTTGGGTTAAGCTGCAAAATGAGAAACTGGGTTGATTTGAATAAATTTAAGTAAAATGTTCTCTAAATATTCTGAAGTGTGACTGAATCACACCTAGTGTTAGATAGTATGCAAATTGTTACTGTTTTCAGTAAAAGAAATTAAACTCTAAGACAGACTTTAAAAGTTTATCATAACTATTTTGGCTCTGTCTTGTCATGTGATCACATGCTTCAGTATGTACATCTCAAACAAAGAGGTGAGCTTTAATGCCTACAGAAGAAGCTTTTGCTAAAGATGCAAACCAGTTTTAAAATCTTGCATCCTCTTTTTGCTACTAAGGTTATTTTAAACAGAAGCAAGTTGAGAAGGTATTAAAGGAAGAGCATCATTGCCAATAATCGGTTTAGGAGCTTTTAAGGATCTTAAACTGCAAAGATGATGGTTGAGCATTAAAATCCACTAGCCATTAATGTATGTTATAGATGCTGATGGCTGTGTCTATTTCCAGAAGTAATAAATGTTTTTAATGCTGTTGTAAAAAGAAGAGGTTGCCTCCAATTATCTCCCAGTTTTCTATAGTATTTGTAAGTAATAAACAATCATAATATGAAGATAAGATAAAATGTCTCCCACTTTTCTACTTAAACAATAAAAAGGTCAACTGACAGCAAAGAAAATAGCCTCCCAAAATAGAAGCTGCATGACAAATAGTTGCTAATGCGTATACTAAGGTTAATAAAAAAAAAAATCTCAGCAAAACGATCTTTATCTGGTAATAAGAGATAAAAAAAAACAAGTTTCAGAATCTTAGGTATGATAACACTGATGGAAAAGTTAGAAATGACAGCTTTGTTAGCAATCTGTTTATTTACAAATGTACAGGTTGACAGCAGTAGTCCACAAAGGTAGCATCACTGACAAAAATAAGCATTTCTGAAATATCCCCTTATCCAGTAGGCTCTGAAGAATCAAATCAATTCTTCTAACTTCCCGATGGTGTTCTTATCTCTATACATTCCAAGGTACACAAAACCAAGACAAAGTCATGCAAAATAGTTTTTTAAATAAGTAATCGGCCTTCCTAGAATGCAGTTATCCCATACTTTTTATACAAGGCTATGCATTCCTACTTAAAGGTACTGTGAAACCTATTGAGCTTTTAAGACATACTTCCAACTATAGGATGGCAGCTTAGGTTTGGCTTCAGGAATTGCAAGGGATTGCCTTTTCTGAACGTTTTTTCACTTAGAGATAGGCAACCTTGGCTCTTTTATGACTCGTGGACTTCAACTCCCAGAATTCCTGAGCCAGCATGGCTGGCTCAGGAATTCTGGGAGTTGAAGTCCAGGAGTCATAAAAGAGCCAAGGTTGCCTACCCCTGACTTAGATGGTGAGGTCCTAACAATTCCATGACAAAGAGTACACACTATAATTGGGACCAGCAACATTGTGGCTAAGCAATGCAATGATAAAATGAAACATAATTTGACTCATTTGCCTCCCATTCTTCTATAAAATGGGACACCATGTGATCCCTGACTTACAACATCAGTTCAAGCTATAGTCTTGAAGCAAATCCCAGCAGTCATTATGTGTGATGTCATGTGATTGCAACTTGCAACTTCCTGCCAGCTATCCCATTAACTTTGCTCAAAGCCTCTGTGAAAGTCACAAATGGCAATCTCATGATTGTAGGTGCTCAATCATAAATTAGCACAAATTTCAAGCATGGGACCATGCGTAACACTGCAAAAGCTGCATGTTTGAGGGCTGGTTGTAAATCTCCATTTATCAGAACTTCTGTAACTTTGAATGGTCACCGAACGAGCAATAAACAACTACCCATAAATCAGTTCTTCCTTGTCCAGTTCTACTGTACTGGGGATCCTTCTTTCTGAAAGTGGAGCTTTACAGGAAGGATCATGCAGGGGTGAAACAGAGATGGAGAGCTATGTGATGGTGGTGATTGTGTAAGGGTTCATGCCTACTCTGAAGACGACTGCCTCTTGTTTTTCACTCATTGAACTGAAGAGGAGAGAGGCTGGATAGTTTTCAGAGAGATGTGAGATTAAGAACCAAACTTTCTAGACTTAAGTACAGTCCTTTCCCATTGGATGAAAAGGGAGAGTAGCAGTTTTGCTGCAAATATAAAATCTATTTTTACTGCATTTTCAATGTTCAGTGTAAGTTTTCTAATAAAATTCTGTTTAAGGTGCTTGTTTTTCTTCTACAGCATTCCTAAATCATGAACTCTTCCTGTCAATGTCATCTGAGTGGGCAAGGGGAAGAGGCTTTGCTGCGGAAAATACTCCCTAGTTACTTTGTGAGTTAATTTCCCTTCCCTTGCTTTGGGCATAGAGATGTGAGTTTACTACTCAATATAAGCGGCAGGAATGTAAAGGAAGAAAATGCAATATCTGCTACAGCATGGAGAAGGTCTGACCGCCCTTTAAGTTTTGAATTTTCAAATGTGAACATTAACATTTCTGCTAGAACAGGGGTGTCCAAGCTTCGCAACTTTAAAACTTGTGGACTTCAACTTCCAGAATTCCCCAGCCAGCATGGGTGACTGGGAAATTCTGGGAGTAGAAGTTCACAAGTCTTAAAGCTGCCAAGGTTGGACATCCTTGTGCTAGACCAGGGGTGTCAAACTGCCAGCCCGCAGGCCAGATGTGTCATGAAACCGCGCCCACTCTATTGCCGGCAATGGAAAAAAGTCGCGATACGTCGCAACACGTGACGTTACTTGTTTGGCACCCCTGTGCTAGACCATATATGGCCCTTGATGGTTCTCTACAGCCTCTGATTATGGGTGAACACTGTCCCCATTTTCCTGATGGAATAATGGTGGTGCAGTAAACATACCTTGGGAAAAGTTAACTGCTACTTTTCCACAAGTGTCCTTAAGGAGAGAGTCAGATACTTTAATCCTCCACATTGGTATTAATCCATTGTATGTTTTAACGTACTGTGCCCTCCATGAAGCCTATTATTTCATGGAAAGGAAGATTCTGCTTCCTGGTTCTGCCCTGATTCACAAAGTCCAAGATGTTTGTAGGATCAGAAGAGAATTAGGCAACAGAAGTAGGAATTAAGACAATCCTTTCCATGGCACTTGTTAAACTGCATACAATCAGAAGATTTCAAATGCAACACTAGCATCTATGATACATTAATAGACATCTATATTAATAGGAGGTGCCTGTTACAGAGGTAGTATTAAGAAGAGAGTCAGGATAACCCTCCCTGACTTGGTGGGATTGAAGAGAGAGGAAGGGGAAAAAAGCACAAAGCATCTTGCAACATTCTATTATTGCAGCCAACCAATAACGTATAGTATCACTTTTTGGGTCTGGTCTATCTCTGATAAGACAAAGTTTTTAGATAGACAAAAAAAAAGCACTGACAAGATTTCATTCAGCTGTGCTCACTTGTTCAATTTACAAAAACAGGCTCTCCCCACATCTAAATGCAACTTTGCAACTGCATGACCACTATTGATGGGTAATAATCATTCCCATGTTGTCGGGAAGGAGGCCTTGTGCAATGAGGTAAAACCGTGCCACCCACGCTTGAATTCAAGCTGGTTGGATTGTAGGAAAAGAGATGACCTGAGATCCTCATCGTCAAATGAAAGGCATGTAGCCAAGAGAATATAAATGTAAAGGAGGCAGCTTCTTATTTGATGAATCCTTAAGGAAGTGAATATTATTTTATGGTTTCTGGCCCTAGTCGGCCAACATATTTGATACAAACCCTAAGTTCATAGGAACAGAATAGTTGAATTATTTGTTAAAGACAGCAGTATCGCTATGGATAATGCTGCTTTGTGACAAAGCAGCAGTGAACTGGGGCAAAATAGAGCTAGCTCTTTTCCCCAGACTGATTTTAAATCTGCCAGGATAAAAATAAGTTTTATATACAAATAAGTACTTCCTCTATTTACATGCTGATGAAAAGTTCACTTATTGTATGGCACAATACTTATATCTACTCAGAAATCACTCCCACAGTGCACTGGACTTATTTCCTGATAAAAAAACAAAAGCAGAGGGTCAAATTATAATAATGGTTTGCTTAATACATGTCACCATTTTACATTTCAGCTTGATTTTTAAAACAGTATTAAAAATAGAAGCACTTGTGCTTTTCCATCTGCTCTTAAGAAAAGCAGGGCAAAAGCAGGAGTGGATTTGCAGGCAGGCAGAAGCCATCTGCTGAAATTAAGAAAGGATCTTCAAGATGAAACGACCTGTTTATAAGGTCTATTTCGTAGAAATAATTTACCATTTCTAAACATTCCTGACAACACTGAGTAAGGTCACTGTAGGGTAATTACGATGGAGAATTTAGACTTGATTTGCAGTCAGGCTGGAAATTGAAACTGGAGGTTTCCATTTGTGCTCAGCAGAGAAAGCCCACTCTTATTGTTACGAGTCTCTTAGGATTTACAGTATAGCATGGGATCCTATCCTGCATTTAATCTCAGCAAATGAAGTCTTCAAATTGAAATGCAAAGATGATCATTACTTTTTCAGATTAGCTTCCATAAATGAAATCATTCAGCAAGTTCAAGGAATTAAACAAGTTATTCTTTTTCCAATTTTATTTTTGTTCATTGCTGGAGTATGCTCCGAAGGGCTGTTTATCTGTTTTTTGATGTAGTAACTATACAGACGTTCATTGCTTATTCATAGCTAAGTTGTTTTTATAGTTAATATTTTTATTTTTATTTCTTTCAGAGATTGAAGGTCCATTTGATTTGTGATGAGGGGTGCTCTTTTATGTATATATGAATATATATATTCAACACATCTCATTCATCTCATAGTTAATTTTTCAGTTTTTTAAAATTTTCTGTCTCGTTTTTTTTAAATTTTTTCTCTTTTTGTACTTGTGATTTATTATGGAGTTTTTAGTTCCTAAATAGAATGTTCCAATTTTTTTAAATTCCTTGGCTATTTTAATGTTTTTCTCTTTTTTAAAAAAGTATGTTGTCTTTATCGTGGAATGTAAAAAATCTTACATGGACATTTAAAAAACAATTGCTTGCCAAATTGAAAACATTATTAAACAACTGCCCCCCCCCAATCTATATTCTTCTATATAGGAGATATATTTTATTCAAAAGATTTCTTGGTTGAGTATTTATGATTGGAAATTCAAAATCTGCCAGGGTGGAGTAATTTAAATCAGCAAAACTTCAAAATGTGTAGTGATCTAGGTACTTTTTAAATACTGGCATTTAATAGTTTTAACAACCATATTATATTCTTTATATAATATTTTATATTCATTAATTCATTAATAAGTACCGTTTTTATTTTTGTTTTAGTGGTGGATAATTAAGGCTGGAGATTTCAATAAAACTTGGGGCCCTTTGTTGGCTCATGATACTTTTTCAACTAAATTTAGTTCTGAAACTTGGAGGTGGGAGTTTAATCTGATGGATATACAACAAACTTAAATATAATACAGCAGAGTTTAGAAACTGAGGGATATGCCCTCCTAGGGGAACATTTAAAAAACAAGGGGTACACAGAAAGTTTTTGGGAAAAATTATCAGTGTAAAAAATACAAAAAGTAATTTTTAATTGAAATTCTAATGGCCTAAAATAGTCTAGGGAATAAACAATTTAATAGCAGATAAGGAGACAGAAAGTGTTGCAAAACAATTTACTCTTTTGAAAGATAGAGAGTATCACCCTGGTTCTTTAGAACTGAAATAGAAAGATTGAACAATGTCATTCCATACAGAAACTTTAGCACCGGGTTTAAGAAATGAGCTATTTGAAGTTTGATATGCCTTAGAGAAGTGGTTCTCAGCCTGTGGGTCGGGACCCCATTTGGGGTTGAACGACCATTTCACGGGGGTCGCCAACCAACGCAGTCCGCCATTTTTCCCCCCTTTTCCTTAGCTGTGCTACTCCCTTTTATTCTATTGGCTTTTGAAAGCCAATAGAATAGACTCTCTTGAATAGAGTCTAATTCTATTGGCTTTCAAAAGCCAATAGGAATTGTCCAGGCTGTCTCTGCCCTGCTGAGCCCGCCAAAAGTCCCATTCTGCAAACGGTGCTGCACCAGTTGAGTAGTCCTCGACTTACGACCGGTTGAGTAGTCCTCGACTTATGACCGGTTGGGGGGTCGCGGCATTAAAAGGGTTGAGAACCACTGGCTTAGAGTGATGTTTTTGTTGTTGTTTTGGTTTCCCTTTTGCAGTTTTTAATCTTTTCTTTCAGTGCATAAATGCAACAAAAAATATAAAACACAGTTTGTCAATTTCATAATGAACATTCCAGGTGGATCCTTACATACAGGCTGCAAAGTGGTGCCCAAGATGCAGGTATTCCTGCTTGGTGCAAGATTCTATCTATGCCAATATCATGCAGAATTCAGTGAGCCCTTGTTTTATTTTCTACAAATCGTCCCATCCTGGCCGACTGAAACAACAATGCCTGCCTATTTCTAGATCTGCTCTGTTGCTTGTTTTTCTGTTCCTCTGTGGCATCTGCTTGCTTACAACAACGATGGTGTAGCCATACCAGTTACCAGCTTCTTTAGGACATAAACCGCATCAATATCCTAGTCTGGCATGGAGGGTGAAGTACTTAAGGCTTCTGCTGCTAAGAGTAATTTCACTCGATCTGTTATCTTCTCTCTTTTGGCCTTCCATTCATGGAAGAGAATGCTGTGTCCCGTAGGCAGTCTATGGCCCTTCCCACACATAACTGAGAAACTGAAGAGATGAATTAGTAAGGTGGTAGCAAGCCTCAAAGTATCCTATACAAGACGTTTCATTTCTTGTCTGTCTAGCTTCAATGTACAACACAATACAAATATTGCATTACCAAAGTTGTTTCTTTACTGCAAGATTGTACCAAGACAATTGAGTGCTTTTTGTTGTGTTAAAGCTGGCAACAACACGGTATTAACAATTTGATATTCACAAAGAGGGTTCACATCTTGGAGAACCATATGAAATTAAGCAGATGCCTTTTTAATATTCATCGTAATGATTCAAATCTGTAAAATAGGCATTGGAATACGCTTTTGCAGTGAGATGTGGATTGAAGTATTTGTTTTGCTCTTCTAGGATGAGATTATTTTTATTAAAAGCCTGGGAAAAGAATAAGAAAAGGAAAAGAGTTTAGTAAATACTAAAGTAACTTCTCATTAAAATAAATGAATATTTATGGGGTGCAGTGAAGAGAAGAGAGAGAAAAGCAACATTATGGTGGCAATTTGGGAATATGGAAAAAGAGAAAGGGAAATCAAGTAAAAAGATATAATCAAATAAAATAGGAAGGGGTTTAAAAACAATTACTTCGTTGACATTTTGTTGTCAATTTGAGGGCAATGAAAGAACAAATAGTTTGAATAATATGACAAATAGTTGTTGAAAAATATATAAAATGGATGATGAGAAGGAAACCATAAATTACATCACTTTAACATTTTAAAGATTTGAATATCATTAGAGATACCACAGAATTTGCATACCAGACTCTGTATGACATGACAGATGGCTTTAGAAGTCAGCAAGTATAATCAGGATGTGAAAGCTGCTTGAAAGTGCTGCCATATAATTCAAGAGAAGTTCTGCCTGATCAACTCTAGAAACAGAATCGGTTCTAATGCTAGTTCTATGTATTAAAGCTGTTCCTTTATGTACACCAGGAACACACCTACTTTTTGTAATTGAGAGCCACCCTTAATACTCTGTATGGCAGTGGTTCTCAACCTGTGGGTCGGGACCCCATTTGGGGTCGAATGACCATTTCACGGGGGTCGCCAAACAAGGCTGTCCGCCATTTTTTTCCCCTTTTCTTTAGCCACGCCCCTGGCACCCGGTGATGTATAAGTGGTTGGGGGTCACCACAACATGGGGAACTGTATTATGGGGTCGCGGCATTAGAAAGGTTGAGAACCACTGCTGTATGGTGTACCTGAGATCACTCTACCAAAAACAGGCATGGCTAAAACAAACGTCAAATAATTAAATCCACTGAAAAAGCTCTATGAATTATGTAAATATGTCCATCTGTCTCATCAAAATTAGAATTCTGGAGGATTGCGGAGTTGACTGTGACACTGGAAATCTAGTAGGTTTCCATTTTATGGCAGCAGTGTGACATTGGTTGATTTCTCAGAAGATGCTAAGGTTTAACTCAGGCCAGCATGGCTAATAACAGCCCCTGCCCTGCCCCGCCCTATGGAACCCTCTTCCCCTGGGATCTTCTGTCTTTCTAAAGGGCCCTTAAAACCTGGCTCTTCCCCCAGGTGATGGAGTAGGGCAGTGTTTCCCAAACTCGACAATTTTAAGGCATGTGGACTTCAACTCCCAGAATTCCACAGCCAGCGTTGCTGGCTGTGGAATTCTGGGAGTTGAAGTCCTCATGCCTTAAAATTGTCAAGTTTGGGAAACACTGGAGTAGGGCAAGGCCAAAGTGGGTTGTGAATGAGGCTGCACTAGTGAAGTGTGGCTGTGGCCCCAAGTTTTTCTGTTTTAATTTTCATTGCTGCTGGTTTTTATACAGTTAGAACAATTAATCAGTGGAACGGCTTGCCTCCAGAAGTTGTGAGTGCTCTAACACTGGAGGTTTTTAAGAAGAGATTGGACAACCATTTGTCTGAAATGGTATACGTTTCCTGCCCTGAACAGAAGAGTTGGACTAGAAGACCTCAAAGGTCCCTTCCAGTTCTGTTATTCTGTTAATTTGCAGTGGAATTTGTGTATCTTCATTTGACAACACATGGCCATTATTGATTCCTTACCTTAATGGCATCTACAGAATCATACTTGTCCAGTTTGTTGAGATGATTGGTGATGTTGGTGTTCAGAGGTACAGGGGATACTGGATGAATGACAGTGGCATCATGAGACTGTTGCTGATATCGCTGGCAATAAGTGTAAGCCAGAAGAGTCAGAAGGCACCCAAGAATTGAGCTACTCAGCCCCACAGCAGTCATGTGGAACAGATTAAATTCTACAAATTAGATGAGTGAGAAAAGAAAATCAATACCTGATTTAGTTTACATGTTATAATTTTTGTATATTACTTATTTCGGGAGCAGGGGAAAATGTTAAATTTTATATTGATTACAGAATTCTGCTTTCTGAACTTCCTGCCAGATATATTTTCAGAGCAGAACAAGATTGCAAAGCCACCACAATTATATGGACAGCCAGTTGAAGGTGCTGGCCTAGAAACTGGGAGACTGAGTTCTACGTCTGCCTTAAGCATGAAAGCTTAAATGTGACTTTTGGGCCAGTCATTCTCTCTCAACGCAACCACCTCAGAAGGTTGTTTTTGGAGGGGGGGGAATGAGGAGGCAGGAGTATTAAATATGTTTGCTACCTTGAGGTAATATATAGATAAATAGTCTGGATAAAATAATAATATCAATAAATTCCCATATGGAGTTGGTTAAGATCAGGAGTGTTAAAGAAACTGAAGACTTTCTTTCAACATATCAAGAACAAATTTTATCAACTTATTACAGGAACGTGAAAATTCAATATGTAAAATAACAGCAAATGCAGCCTCTGTAGTAGAAAAGGATGAAACAGTTAGCCAAGCTATTCTCCAAAGCGCCTGAGGGCAGGACAAGAAGTAACTAATCAAGGAGAGAAGCAACCTAGAACTAAGGAGAAACTTCCTGACAGTTAGAACAATTAACCAGTGGAACAACCTGCCTCCAGAAGCGGTGAATGGTCCAACACTGGAAGTTTTTAAGAAGAGACTGGACAGCCATCTGTCCGAAAAGGTGTAGGGTTCCTGCCTGAGCAGGGGGTTGAACTCGATGACCTTCAAGGTCCCTTCCAACTTTATTATTATTATTATTATTATTATTATTATGGATCATCGCAGTCAGCCAGATGTTCAGACTGGATTTGGCATTTTGTCTACCTATCGAGTCCTTACCAAGGACCTGGGATAGGCAGATGTGGATGTTTGATGGTATTACAGACATTGTCGCAAAATGGAAGCAATTCCTAGTAAGGTCGCCTTTTGCAATTGACTAATGGCAAATTTGTCCATGCCAATGGTGTTCAAGTGGTGCTCCAGTTGTTTTGGGATTGCACCCAAGGCGCCTATTACTATTGGTACTACCCTTGCTTGCTTTTGCCACAGTCTTTCTATTTCTATTTGTAGGTTTTTGTATTTTGTTATCTTCTCCAGTTCTTTCTCGTCTATTCTGCTGTCTCCAGGCACTGCCACATCCACTATCCAGACTTTTTTGTCTTTCTTATTGACAATTGTTAAGTCCGGGGTGTTATGTTGCAGGTGCTTGTCTGTTTGAATTCTGAAGTCCCAGAGCAGTTTAATTTTATCATTTTCTTCTATTATTATTATTATTATTATGGATCATCGCACAGTCAGCCAGATGTTCAGACTGGATTTGGCATTTTGTCTACCTATCGAGTCCTTACCCAGGACCTGGGATAGGCAGATGTGGATGTTTGATGGTATTACAGGTATCGTCGCAAGATGGAAGAGTTCCTAGTAAGGCCGCCTTTTGCAATTGACTAATAGCGAATTTGTCAGTGCCAATGGTGTTCAAGTGGTGCTCCAGTTGTTTTAGGATTGCACCCAAGGAGCCTATTACTATTGGTACTACCCTTGCTTGCTTTTGCCACAGTCTTTCTATTTCTATTTGTAGGTCTTTGTATTTTGTTATCTTCTCCAGTTCTTTCTCGTCTATTCTGCTGTCTCCAGGCACTGCCACGTCCACTATCCAGACTTTTTGTCTTTCTTATTGACAATTGTTAAGTCTGGGGTGTTATGTTGCAGATGCTTGTATGTTTGAATTCTGAAGTCCCAGAGCAGTTTAATTTTATCATTTTCTATGACTTTCTCTATTTTATGATCCCACCAGTTTTTGCTTACAGGCAAATGATATTTTTTGCAGATCTTCCAATGCACCATTGTTGCTACTTTATCATGCCGCTGCTTGTAGTCAGTCTGTGCAATCTTCTTGCAACAGCTTACCAGGTGGTCCACTGTTTCTTCAGCTTCTTTGCATAGGCGGCACTTACTGTCTGTTGCTGTCTTCTCAATTTTGACATCATCATCATCATTATTATTATTATTGTTATTATTATTATTATTTGATCAGTGGCTGCAGTAAAATTTCATATACTGACTATCATCAGCATCATGGCTGAGTTGCCAAAATTATTCATTGAAGACTTTACCAGAGATTTAGGTTTGAACGCAATAAAAAAAACGACCGTGATCGTCAAATGTCATGACTACTTATGACCACTCTCTTAACTTGACAAGGCTTGAACAAGTCCTTAATTTATCCATACTAATGATAGTGAAGTAAACAGGAAAGAGCCAGACTGTAGGTGAAAGAATTCATTCCAATTCTAAAGAAATACAAGAAAAAAATCTATACTATGTTTACTATGTTGTAGTTATGAATGGAAGGAAGAAGGAAATAGAGAATCTATTCTTGAAAAATGAACATTACCCCTAGTAATAGCACTATATAGCACTTCAGAAATTAGTCAGAAAAGGTTCTCTAGAGTGCAGAGAATCACCAATGTAGCATCTGTCAGCCACTCTTTAAAGCAGCAGCATCTTTGCCTAGGATCAAGGGGCTGCTCTCAAAAGCTGTTATATAATGGAACTGTTTCACAACTAAGATCCTCTTGGGAAAGATGCTTGAATGAGTAATAAATCACTGGAGAAACCTCTGATCAACGAAACCTATGCTTTCCTCTTCATAAGGGTCCACCCAAATCAAACCTTGAAGAGCCTGCAGTCTTCCTGAGCAGGAAATAATTTCTTTTGGGAGACTGGATCTTGGTATCAGATAAAGAACACCAAGTATCTGTTCTCTAAAACTGGCAAACGTGTACAATTATTTTCATTTACAAAACATATTCTCTCTCTGTTAGCCACGAGTAGGGTGAAAAACTCAGCAACCAAATATGCTGGAAAGATTATTAACCAATGATTATGGTTTCAACAGTTTCAGCAAGTATAAAATTATTTTCATTACTTGAAATAGATGCTCATTTGCATACTGTCCATTCTTGAAGGCCCTGAGCAGCTAACAGACAAAACTGTTGTAAAAAAAAAATCTTCAAAAATAAGAAATATGAGAAACTCATCTACAAAATTAACCAAATAATCAACTATATCGAAACTGCAAAAAAAAAAAAAAAGCTGGTGAAAAACAGCTGAATCAATTGTCCATACATTTTAATTCACAGAAGTGTTCCATCCCTGCATCATGAAGTAGGAAACTATTATTTCAGAAAATTCAATCTGGGCCATTCTGGCTCTTTCACCTTTTGCCTTCACTCTTGCTTCCAATGCCACAATGAAAAGATTCCCAGTGGTACCTAGCATAATCTAACATGAATAGTGAATAGTATAATTAATACTGGCATTCTGACAAGTCAACAGACACACCGAGATAAACCCCATCTAGACACCATTTAAAATATATAACCAAAGGCCAAGGAAGGCAACCCAAATCCCAGAATAACTCTCCAGAGCAACCAACACCCAGATAAGCAGCAAACAGCCCCAGATAAACAATCAGGGAAGAAACAACACCCTAATCAGGGAACTATTAAGGAAGAAATTACACCCCCATCAAGATTGGCAGGGCAAGCCCTATGCATAAACTTAAATCTGCAAACTTCACTCTTCTATACACACCAACGATGTTAGGTCTCCGGGAAATGAAATGTCTGTAGGAAAACAACCAAGCTCAAAGCACACAAAAAGCCCAAGGGTTAAATACTGCATTGTATCTATTCTCCACTAATGGAACATAGGAGAGTCACAGAAATTTGAAATGTGCAATTCCAGTCTTGGCTGGTGTAAGAAAAATAGAAGAAACTCTCATGAAAGTGTTGAGGGTGAGAAAAGATGAATAATTATCACAGATAAGACAAAAGGGAAGAATCTTACCACCACATCTTTTTTCTTTGATACTGCTGGTTCTTGCAACATTTATATCTACAATAGCAAATAATTGAATTAACAGCTGGATGGTAAAGAATATCTGTTCTAAGTAAATTTCATTTACTTCAAACCAATTATTTCTCAAATGATATCTTAAGTACACAATACAAGTTGCTAATTTGCCAGAACAATAATGCACTCAAATCCAGTAACTACACAATAATGCCTAACCCAGGTCCTTGGGAAGGACTTGACAGATGGATCAGATTTTCCTGACAGTGCAACCAATCATTATAATTTTATTAAACTGGTATGCCATACAGCAGTGTTTCTCAACCTTGGCGGCTTGAAGAGCTGGCTGGGGAATTCTGGGAATTGAACTGAATTCAAGCTGCCAAAGTTGAGAAACACTGCCATACAGTAATACCAGCAGAATGTAAAAGCCAAGGTAGGAGGAAGAAGATATTTAAATCCATCAACTGGGCTGACAGGAACATTTGGGTAAGAGGGAAAACTAAGGAGCTACATGTAACTCATCCTCGTCTCCTCCCTCCAGCTCCCTTTTACTGAACTGAGACAAGCTTTTAATTCTTCATTTTAGACCAGTGGTTCTCAACCTGTGGGTCGGGACCCCATTTGGGGTCAAACGACCATTTCACGGGGGTCGCCAAACAATGCAGTCCGCCATTTTTTCCCCTTTTCCTTAGCTGTGCTACTCCCTTTTATTCTATTGGCATTTGAAAGCCAATAGAATAGACTCTCTTGAATAGAGTCTAATTCTATTGGCTTTCAAAAGCCAATAGGAATTGTCCAGGCTGTCTCTGCCCTGCTGAGCCCACCAAAAGTCCCATTCTGCAAACAGTGCTGCACCAGTTGAGTAGTCCTCGACTTACGACCGGTTGGGGGTCGCGGCATTAAAAAGGTTGAGAACCACTGTTTTAGACGTATCTCAGTCTATTTTCAACAAATGTGTAGCCACCTAGCCAGACCTCTCATTCAGGAATCACATCAGGGTATCATCAGTGCTTGCTCTTACCTGGTATTAAATTGGAATCAGAATCACATGGGTGACTTTCAGTCGTATTCCCAGAGCACTGCTGACCCACGGGAAACAAAACGTTACATTGGCGAGTGCGGACTTGGACTCCAGATGCATCACAGCCTGACCAGTCAGACCACTCTGACCAGCTATCTGCAACAGACAAAAATCGACAGCGCATGAAGGGACCACCCGTTCACCATGTGCTCCCTTTAAATTTCCTCCTATCCCAATCTTCAGTCTTTTCTATTTTTAGCATATTAACCTGATTCTGCAAGGACAATCAATGCACTGGAGCAATGATTATGTTTTAGACCAGGGGTCTTCAAACTTGGCCCTTTTATGACTTGTGGACTTCAACACCCAGAATTCCTCAGCCAGGCAGTGCCTGGCTGAGGAATTCTGGGAGTTGAAGTCCACAAGTCATAAAAGAGCCAAGTTTGAAGACCCCTGTTTTAGACCATCTTTATGTTGATAAAAAGATGTGCAATTTTTTTAAATGCACATTTTATACTTGGTACTGCATCTTTTGGTGTTCTTTGCTGGATCTGGATGGATCAACAGTATGAGTTTCAGCAATTCACCTACCCTGAAGGGGAACAAGCTAAACTCTCAGCCACTTTCTTCTGCTCAAAATTGTTCTGTTTTCCACACCTTACATCCTTAGAGAAACAGTGGAACTGTTGTCAGGAGCAAATGTTTCAATTTTGATCAGCAGAGTCTTTTTTATACAAAGGAGACAGATGGTGGGGGAAGCATATACAGAAATTCTGTCAACTCTAAATTAAAATACCTTTAGCTTTTGGGAATCACACTATACCAGAATAAAGGCTTACATACGTGTCACTCAAAGATGGAACTATTATTAATATTAAATCTCCTATCATGCATTTTGTTCGTGCTCCACATTATTGGCTGCTGCTAATGATGGCAACCCCTTTATGGACAGCATACTAAAAAGCAGAGATATCACCTTGCCAACAAAAGTACGTATAGTCAAGGCCATAGTTTTCCCAGTTGCAATGTATGGATGTGAAAGTTGGACCATAAGAAAGGCTGAGCAACAAAGAATTGAGGCCTTTGAACTATGGTGCTGGAGAAGACTCCTGCAAGTCCCTTGGACTGCAAGGCGTTCAAACCGGTCAGTCCTAGAAGAGATCAACCCCGACTGCTCTTTAGAAGGCCAGATCCTGAAGTTGAAACTCAAATACTTTGGCCACCTAATGGGAAGGAAGGACTCACTGGAGAAGGGCCTAATGCTGGGAAAGATTGAGGGCAATAGAAGAAGGGGACGACAGAGAATGAGGTGGCTGGATGGAGTCACTGAAGCAGTAGGCGTGAACTTAAATGGACTCCAGAAGATGGTAGAGGACAGGAAGGCCTGGAGAAACGTTGTCCATGGGGTCGTGATGGGTTGGACATGACTTCGCAATTAACAACAAAAACAAAGTGATGGCAAAGAAGTGCAGAAAAGAACATCATGATCGTGCAGGATTGGAAAGTTTATCAGTTTTGGACAACTGGGGAGAAGCTAATATGGAGAAGCACTGTCTGCTCTTATTGACTGCAAGATGTAGTTTTAGCCTAGGTTACGGCCTATCCTAATCGGGAAAAATTGATATTAGAAGCTAAATATCTGGAGAAAGCTGGTGAAGCAGCCAGAACTATCATGACCCCATGATAAAAATGGGGAAGGGCCCCCATCTTCTTTCTGCCCTACAACATCCCCCTCCCCAGCTATAGATATATCTTCCATCCAGCCTTCTTCCTCTTAGCACTAGGTGTCTTACCACGGCAAGAACATTTCATTTATGAAATGAGACTGGCACTATCACCAGCTAATGCAAAAGGATAGCAACAGCAATGGCATTAGGCTTATATACTGCCCCATAGTGCTTTACAGTTGAATTAGTTAGGAATGGAAAAGGCAAGACCTGCCCCTGTAAGTGGAAAAATATGGCTAAAGCAGTCTGACCACTGCTTTCCATGTGGCTGCTAATGGGAATGAGACAGCTCACACAGTTTGCAGAAAACTGCTGAGTTTTCTGCTTCAGCATCCTCAGTTTTTATGAACGAAAACATGATTTCTGCCTTGTATGCTATAGTTTGTTGTGGCCAATTCCATTCTGAGAAATCTTCAGAGCATATTTGCATGGATTATAGCTTAACAATGAGTATGAGAGCACTACAATGGGCTCCTAAGGCAGGGCCCAAGCTAGATTAACAGATGAGGGCATCATATTAGGCCAGGGGTAGGCAACCTTGGCTCTTTTATGACTCGTGGACTTCAACTCCCAGAATTCCTGAGCCAGCATGGGAGTTCTGGGAGTTGAAAGTCCACAAGTCATAAAAGAGTCAAGGTTGCCTACCCCTGTACTTGGCCTATCCCAATGGGATGAATGAAACCTACTTCTAGATTTGAAGCTAGATTGGAATGCTGAGATCCATATTCCATCACCATCTAACTTATGGCTTTAGGTAAGCTAAAAGATCTCAGCATCCTCTTCCTCAGTATAACTTGTGTATAAAGGAAAACAAATGTAGAAACAAAATCAGTAAATAATTCCGAACACACTACCTAATTTAATCTAATTCTTAATAATATCTGTTCTACAATTGGTGAGGAAACAAACAGGATGTTTCAAACCTGGACATTGTTGTGTATTACAAAGTGCTTCTTCGGTGTGGAGCCCTAAACAGATGTCGCCTCCATAAGCTGGTGCTGGGTTTGTACAGGAGCGAGTCCTCATAAAATGGCCACTTCCACAAGTAGCAGAGCACTTGGACCACGATGACCAACAGGACCAACTTCCATCAACTAGAAGAAGAAAAGCAGTGCTATTGTTCGTTGTTTCTCAAAAATCGGATAAATACATAATCTAGACTGCTGCAGTTACGTCTGAAGCCCCAAGCCCTCAAATACAAATATATATTCTTAAGTATCACTTCTAGAAAGGTAACTCAATTATGATAAGAGGGGAGGAAGCCCAAACCAAAGCCAATGTTATTACTTCCAAATGAGAATTATATCATAACAGCTACGCTGAAATCTATGATTTTCTACATTTCTGCCCTACGGCAATCCAGAGACTCCTGATGGCTTACATAGAGCAGTGTTTCCCAAACTTGACAATTTTAAGGCATGAGGACTTCAACTCCCAGAATTCCACAGCCAGCAACGCTGGCTGTGGAATTCTGGGAGTTGAAGTCCTCATGCCTTAAAATTGTCAAGTTTGGGAAACACTGACATAGAGTATAAAGTAAAAGATCCATGCTATCATAGCTATAAAAGCAGTAAAACTATAACACCACCCATATGGAAAACTGCAAAACAACAAAATGAAAATGGCATGCTAAACTCAAGAGAAGGCCCTCTAGAAAACTGTTTTTAAAAGCTTCTGAAACATTAACAAGCAGGGGGGCTAGCCTGATCTCACCTAGGAGGCTGTTCCACAGCATCAGTGTCACCATAAAAAAAAGAGCAATTCCTTGTTTTTTATTTATTTAATCAATCATATTTATAGGGCAACCTCAGTCAACCAATACTGGGCACTTTAATACAAAAACAGCCAACATAAATCCTCCACTAAGATAGACAGATAAAAATGACAGAAACCTAAAAGGTTCAAGGTCTGATGATGATGATGATGGTGGTGATGGTGATGATGATGATAATAATTATTATTATTATTATTATTATTTACCAATAGTAATAGGTGCCTTGGGTGCAATCCCAAAACAACTTGAGCACCACTTGAACACCATTGGCATTGACAAATGTGCCATTAGTCAATTGCAAAAGGCAGCCTTACTAGGAACTGCTTCCATCCTGCGACGATATCTGTAGTACCATCAAACATCCACATCTGCCTATCTCAGGTCCTTGGTAAGGACTCGATAGGTAGACAAAATGCCAAATCCAGTCTGAACATCTGGCTGACTGTGCGATGATCCATAATAATAATAATAATAATAATAAAAGTGTCTGAAACACAATTCCTTATCCCAGGGCCTGGAGAAAGAGCCAAGTCTTCAAATTTTGCTTAAAATGACAGTAAGTCTGGGATAATATGAACCTTTGTGGGAATACTGGAGATTGGAAGCAAAGTCAAGAAACTCTGAAGTTATCTTCACGCTTCACTTTACAAGAATTCCTCCTCACATCTTGGTACTAGCAATTACCACTACCCATGAAGTTTTATGTTTCCAAACATGAATTCCATCCCATCCAAGCACTCTTTGGAAACAGGAGAAGCAGCTGGGAGCTTGGAAAAAACTTGAGCAGGTCATGCAGGAACAGGAGAGTTTGGAGAGGGATTTTGGAGAGGGGAGAAACACACTGGCTGTCCATTCCCAAAGCATAAGCTTCAGAAGTGAAATTAGCTACTGGGTAAAGAAGTCAAGGCCCTGTCTTCTGAAACAGTATCGCATCTTTTAGTTTAACTGGTCCTAAAGAAGGAGAATATGACGTTACCAATAATAACTAGTATAGACGGAAAAGGCCAACAAGCGAGGGGGAATTTTCCAAGTTACTTTACATAGTGTCAAATAGGTAACTATTTGCCTTAGGGGCTCTACTTGGTGCAGTAAGTTCTTACTTCTCAGAGAGCAAGTTCTTTCTCTTGAGACCACATCAGCTGAGATAAGGATGCTTAGACAACCAGATAGATTAGATTAGATTTATGGGATAGGCTAGCTTTGTCCCACTCTGACAATGACAATCCCTTGTTGTCAGGGAGAATGAGGGCTTTGGAGAAGGAGGATATCATTTCAAGGACAAACAAGATGTTCCTATAGAAGGGGCCCAATTCTTGGGTGATGTACCCATCTCCTCTCACTTCAAGGATATTCTTCGGGGGGGGGGAGTAGAGAATACTTCTTTATAAAAGATTTGATCATTAGATACATAGACAAATGTCGACCTCACAGAGTAACATGACTGGTGTGAAGGCTATAAATGTCATATGCCATCAAGATAAGCGACTAAATACTGTTGGAGAAGAGGAAGAATTTATGGTCAAAAGGTAACATTGGGAAGCAAATTCAAGTCCAGGACTGCCAAAGTAGCATTTTAGAGATGCCACTAATCCATGCACAGGGCTAGTTAGACAGGCAGAGCTCAGGGGTCTCAATCTACAGATTTAGAAAAGTCAGGTGGAGGATTTAGATTAGAAAGACAGACTACACTTGAACCAAAATAAAACCAGGATGCAAGTACAGAAAACAAACAAAAATGGACACAGATTTTAAACTGCTCCTTGGGAGAAAATGTCAGCCCTACAAAGCAGAAAAGATGGAGAAGCCAATGGCATATAAGCTAGGACTAATTTATATTGCAACAGCTATAGCAATGGAATTTTGCAAGTCTGAATGTGCAGTCCCCCCCCCACTTTATCTTTTTAGGCTACTCTGAGCTATTTTTGTCAAATTGGTTTGATCTGACTGTTAGTAGCAGCTTTTCCTCCTGTCCTTCAAAGACATTCCCTATGGCCCTCTATACCAATAGGTGCTGGATGACATCTGACTCAGAAGGACTTTTTGCTGACACCTGGATTGGAAAATATGTTGCTTATTGGAATGCTTATAGTTAAGAGTAGATTTATGGGATCAAGAACTTTATATCTGTTAATTAAAAGAAGATAAAGAGATAATGAAACTGTTTAGATTATGGTAAGGGTGGGAAGTTGCTTCCCTGTTTTCTTGTCCTTTTCTCTATTTGTCCTTTCCTTGTGTGGCTTTCTTGTAAAAGAGGTTTTATTCTAGTTCTTCTTTTTAGTTTATACAGTAGTCTCTTTTACTATTTTAATAAAATATAATTTAAAAAACTTTGTTTCTAGGTTTGTGTACTGGAAGCAGTATCTCACTTAAAACTATCCTTGATCATTGGTCCATAATCTGAATTGTTGCCCAGTCATTCATAAGACGTGCCACCAAGCCATCCCCATGTGTTGCATGTTTATACTTCCTGTCCTATGAAAAAGCTTGACCAGAAGGTTGGACTAGAAGACCTCCAGCTTAAACAGGTTTTCAAGTAAAGGCTTAAACACCTCTACTTGAAAAGGCTAAAATGCTTTGAATTCTTTGCATGTCTGAAGAGTTTATAATCAAGTACAGCATGAAAAAAAAGATAAGAAAATTTCTCTCTCTTTCTAGAACTGCTAGAACTATGAGTCATCCAATGATGCTCTGGAAGATAGAAAAAGAAACACTTCTATAGAATAATATAAGCCACTAATGTGTGTAGCTTTAAAAGTGGGAATTGGATAAATTAAGGGATTGGAATGGTTTATAATTAACAAATAAATAAAGGTTTATCAAGTGTTATTGGTCTTGAGGACTCAATATTGTCTCCATGCTGAGAACAGGATGTTTCCAAATAAAACGTCTAAGGGAAAATAGTGGAAAAGGGAAATGCCTTCATCTTTTGCTTGCAGCATCCTATTGGCATCTAGGTGACCAGCATGAGAAATAAAAAATGCTGGAATAAGATGAGCTTGATATGATTCAGCATAGTTGTTCTTCTGGTCTCATGCAGAAGTGAGTATAATTAAAGAAATAAAACTAAATAATTCCTTTTTTATAATGTACATTTAAAAAAAAACATTGCATAAAATAAAGCAGAGGGCACTAACATAAAAGATAAAAGCACTCAGTCTCCTACTATTTCCTGGTAGGGTTACACAATGGTGAATGCTTCACAAATAACTCAAACTTCTATGGCCACTTACTTACCTGGGCATGGAAAGATGTTGCATTCTTGATATTCCAGGGGAGGTCCCAGGCAAGGCAATCCCCCATACTTTGGCTCAGGATTATTGCAAATTCGTTTGCGATTTCGAATACCTCTGTTACAGTCACGGCTACACTGAGACCATGGAGACCAGGGGGACCAAGCACCATTGATGGTGTGAGTGGAACGATGCGCAGAATGCAAAAGATCACCTAAGAATACAAATATAAACAGAATAAATAGAAGTAAAATGTGAACCTTCCAAAGACAAGAATTTACCATAGTAGGAATCTGCAAATGTATTGATAACATTGTTCTAATTTAATTTGCAGCTGACCGAGTAACTTTAACACCAAGTGATATGGATTGTAATATGGTACCAAAGACTGAGAGTTATACTTCATAGGAATCTGTATAAGTGCTATTCCCAAAACAATTTAATCAGGCCCTTAGTGGCTTTACCAAAGTAGATACTCCACTTTTGAAGGTTATAACTCTTTTTGAGGTCTGGCTATGCCTCATAATAGAAAAAAAAACCCTTTACTATTAACTGGATCCAACTTTATCATGAAGTCTGACACTGCCAGACTAATGGCTACTGGTTGGAAAATAGAGTGATTTTCAAACAGACTTCAGTTGGTCTCCCCTCTACAGATATGTCTTGAATATATAATTGGTGACAAATGTGAGTTATCAGTGTTTAAAATGTAGCAGACCTCAGAATGGTTGACAAAAGCAGCAAAGAAAAATAAAGGTGTCTCATGAAGAAGAGTAAATTCTTAAACAGATTTTAATAATATTAATTTAATTGCACTGAAACAGGTTAATGTTAAAGGTTATAATGGTTATTTTCAAAAAATAATGAGCCAAATAAAAAACAAAATAGACAAGTAAAATTTAAAAGCCACCGCTTTTTATCAAAATGACTCTGTTCCATCAAGTATACAATACACAACAAATAAGGGCATCTGTTGTAGCATGTATCTTCTGTAAGAACTCAATGACCAGGATGAATTATGTATAACTGCATTTAAAATGAATCCTGTGACTTTTAAGTCTAGGATATTTGTGATGTTTGCTTTTTTGCTGCATGTTTTTATCCATGACTTAGGAAAAGTAAACTGTGGTTTAGAAGCACATTTATTTTTTGTTTGTACTGCAAATGAATTTCAATTGATCACAACACAAAGGTTTTTTAAGGATGAGACAGAAGTGCAATACAACTCTTGGCAGCCATATCAATTTTGAGTCTTTGTAAGAAGTAAACAAATAAACAATGCCAATTCCAAATGAAATGGCTACAAAGAAAACTGCACATGTAGAAGCATTTTCACCCATTACTCTTCAAAAACAAGTAACCAAGCTTCATCAAAAGCCTTTTCACCACTTCTTTTATTTTTTAAATTACTTTACAGCCAAATTCTAGGCATGCTTGTTTAGATAAAACCTGGTGTGTTCTCATTAACTCTCAGTAAGTAGGATATAATAAGGCATCCTTATTATTTTGTCAAAAAAATCTGTACCTCCCCTTGCTGGAATAATTAGGGGCCTCCAACTGCAGGGATCCCTCATCAATTTAAGAAAGATAACTAACAGCAACCTCTATATTCAGAGTCTACAATACTGAAAACAATGTGCAGAAGAAGACGTTAAGAACAAGACTAAAGTACAAAGTCGAAACATATTAAGGAGGGGGAAAAACCCCACTAGGAGGGAAATGGGACTTGCCCAATCATTGTAGAATACTGAATGTTAGTGTCAGAACCCATTTCTATTTCATTTCTATCTATCTCAGTGGTTCTCAACCTTCCTAATGCTGCAACCCCCAACCATGTGGTCATAAGTTGAGGACTACCTGTATTTCCCTGCAGGCGGGGCAGGAGGAGGTGCGCACGCTCTGCTTCCTCTCCTGCAGCTGGAGCGCACGCTGGGCAGGCCGGTGCACGAAGGCCATCGCCCATCAACCGCCTCGACCCGGGAGTGCCGCGCATGCATGGTGCCGCCCCCTGCGCCGGCCGAGGCGTAGCTGGCAAGTGGCAGCGATGGCGCAGGCCGACCACCAGCTGGGCCACCAGCTGGCCCAGCCCAAGGGAGATAAGGCACCCGCCGGCCTCATGCACGCCAGCAACCCTCCCTGAGCCTGCCGGCCTCCCACCTCCCACCCCTGGCCCTCTTTTACTTACATTTAGTAGTTGCTCAGCAGGGAGGGGTGGAAACATCCAGAAAGCTTGCCTTAGCTGCAGACAACTTGCAGCACCGTTTGCAGAATGGGACTTTTGGCAGGCTCAGCAGGGCAGAGACAGCCTGGACAATTCCTATTGGCTTTTGAAAGCCAATAGAATTAGACTCTATTCAAGAGAGTCTATTCTATTGGCTTTCGAAAGCCAATAGATTCTATTGGCTTTCGAACGCCATTAGAATAGAGTCTCTTGAATAGAGTCTATTCTATTGGCTTTCAAAAGCCAATAGAGTAAGAGGGAGTAGCACAGCTAAGGAAAAGGGGGAAAAATGGCAGACTGTGTTGTTTGGCGACCCCCGTGAAATGGTCGTTCAACCCCAAATGGGGTTGCAACCCACAGGTTGAGAACCACTGATCTATCTCCTCTGATCTAAAAACAAATCTCACTTTTCCCTGGGTTCTGCCATACTCCCAAGGGGGAGGGGGGATATGCCTGCGGGGTTATTGCTTTCGCTTCTTCTATTCACTACAATGTAACCTTTTGTTTTGTTTATTCCTTCTGTGCCCGCTGCCCGCCACAATGTAACAATTTGCTTCCTACACTGCATTCTCTGAACTTTCTTCTCCCTAACCTGTTAGCTAGGAAAAGTGGGGGGGGGGAGAGAAAGAAATACAACCTCCAGAGCCTGGCTTATTTCTCCGGTCTGAAAAGGAGATGCGAAGAGCTGCTTGAACATCGTGCTACGACCGGAGTCGGACCGATGTTATCTCCCCTTTCCCACGATGGACTTAACACCTGGTTATTGGCCGGTCTGAACCATCTGGATGAACTGTGAGGTGGGGATTTGCTTGGGGACACTTTAAAGTATCGATCTGTAAAGGAATCCCACAGATCCTGTCTATTATACTGCTATCAACTACTTTTAATAAAAGTTCCTGTTGGAGGAAACCGTCTCCAAGAGTTCTGCTTTCTTAAGAGGTGGGATTGAAGTGAGTCCTTACAGTTAGTTATAGTGCATAGGGAAATGAAATGAAGCATTCTTGAACAGGACACTGTAAGCTGGGCAGCTATCTGAACAGAAGACGCATTCTCACGGTTTGTTGTCGTTTCCCTTTATGCAAGTTACTGTTCTTAACACCTGAACAGCATGGTGAATCCAAACCACTTCAAAAACACCGTCTCAATCATCCTTACAATAACTCTACAAGTTGGATCCTCACTTGGCAAATGTAGTAAAAGCTTGCTGAAAGGGAAAAGTGAGCTTTAAATCTGATATTTCTTGCCTCCGTTTTTTAGTTAGACACTAGCTCTTTTCTGTTTTTATCTTTATCCTCAAGTCTATTGAATTTACAACAATAATTGTGAGAGTTGCAATTACCAGGTCCTTTTTAATTAAAGCAAAGCAAAGTCAATGGAGACAATGATTAAAAGCCTTCAAGTGCTTGAGATTTTGCCAGGCAGAGATTGCCATTGTTGTCTCCTGGCCTAGAATCAAGAGTCAAAGACGAGAAGGAGAAAAGATGGACGAGTTATAACAGCTTGTGTTTAGGTGCAGCATTAGGAATGTTAAAATGGTCACAATGGCACTATAGCAGAAGAGCTATTCTACAAAATGTAAAAAATGAGGCACACAAGCCATGTTAAAGGAAGTTTTAATTACAAAATGCTTGCTGCAGGGAGGATGGTAGAAGACATTGTCCTGCTGGCATTTCAAATGAGTTGCTGCTGGCTATAAAGTTTTGTTTCACAGACTCAGGTCTGTATACAACTCTGTGCAACTGGAAGAGAATCAGAAAAAGCAAGGCAACTGGGGGTGGGGGGGTGGGCTGGGGGAGGGGATCTGTACATAGAGATCAAGAACCTTTTATATTGAGAGAATACATTCATGAGAACAAAATCTTATAGTGAAGAATCAGTCAGAAGGTACAACGTGTGTTAATTCTCCCATTGCTCCTGCCCCAGCCATTGTCCCCAGAAGGGATATTTGCAAGGGAAAAAAACACAAATACTCCACATCTACCCCTTAGAGACTATGTTTTATGTTAATTAAATGCAGAACTAGGAGTGCAAAGATCCAGATTCTAGTCTTTCCTTAAGCAAGAATCCAGCTGGATAATCTCAGACCAGTCACATTTTCTTAGTACTAATGATGATCAGATTTTGTGATGCTGGGTGATAAACAAACACTCTTGTCATAGCATGTATTGATAGCCTTGCTGCAAGAGCTAGGGAAGCACAGTATTAAAAGAAGCAGAGCCCCAGCATGCAGGACAAATGATAAGGAAAACAACAAATAACAACTCTCTACCCCAGTGGTGGCGAACCTATGGCACAGGTGCCAGAGGCGGCACTCAGAGCCCTCTCTGTGGGCACGCGCGCCGTCGCCCCAGTGCTAGGTCTTCAGCTGGGTTTTATAAAATCTTTTCGCTTTAGGCCTCCATCGCCATGTGCAAAAAAAAAAAAAAAGGTTCAATCAGTCAATTTCAACTTCTTGCGGGGGGGGGGAAAAAAGGATCTTGCAAAGTTGAAATTGATTGATTGAACTTTTTAGTCCCACCCAGTCTGCCGTTACCACTGCAACCACGCCCACCCAATGGACACACCCACCCAATGGGCCACATCCACCCAATGGGTCACATCCACCCGGCACTCGATGATGCATAAGTGGGTTTTGGGTTGCAGTTTGGGCACTCGGTCTCTAAAAGGTTCGCCATCACTGCTCTACCCTCTATTTCTATCCTATAAATATCTGGCTCATTTATCTTTCCAGAAAACAAAGAATTGAGGTTTTTTTTCCCCTAGAAATCCAAAGATATTTGGATTTGACAAAACTGTTATTAGACAAACACTCACTAAATAAATGCAACATATAAGCTAAAGAAATTGGATCAACACAGGGAAGGAATAAGATAACAGTGTCAAAGTTTTAGAGGCTAAGATACAAGTTCTAGCAAATCATAGGCCAGGGAGCTTGTTAAGTATAAATAAGGTGTCTAGGCTAAAGACTGCAAGGAATTTAAGTCTGCAAGGAATTTAAGTCCTTCCATTCTCCACCAGTCAGAACTGAAGAAGCTTTCTGGATGAGAAGTGAAATGACTTCAGGGAAAAAACAAGAAAGTCCAGTTGCCTTTTGAAAAAACACATTTCGGACATCAATAAGGTGAAAGCCATTATACATTACAATTAATTGTTATTCAGATAAAACAAAAGATGTCAGAAAAAGTAATAGCTTTATATCACTTTTAATTTAAAAATATATTCTAATTATCAGATACCTTCAATGATCTATCAAGCTAATAGGGAGATTTTTTTTTAAAGAGGCAGGGTGATTTTCAAAAATAAAACATTAACATCTCTTCCAAAGCACATTGCATATACTGTACCGTTATGCATAAAAAAAAATGTTTCTACAGAAAAATACAGCTCAGTGTTGCCTTGTACCACAAGATAAATGGCATATAAATTTGACAAATAAATAAACAGATAGATAAAATTTTGTGTTTTTTTTTCTGGAGAACTGAGTGGCAGCAGTTAATTTTACAATGATGTATTTTGTGTTTATATTTCCTGGATATGTTCTCAAGCAATATGACACTATGTATAAGTGCAATAAACTAACACAGATGTTAGCAGTTATTACTCACTTCAACTGCTGCTAACTCTTTGAGGTTGTCCAGATCAGGAAACAGATACCACAAGATGACTAGAATTTTACTGAGATTGGTTATTGTAATAGTTTTATGAGCCTGATTGCATTTTCCTTTTCTTTCTTCTTATACCCCAAGGAGACTGAGCCTCTTCCTAACACTTTCTCTGTTTCCCACACTCAACCCGTCCTTTTGCACATGTTGTTGTAACAATCTCTAAATAATGTCATCTCCATGACTCCCTACAATGGAAAGATAATAGGGATCACACCAGAGGTGGGTTACATTTGCCCCAGTGCAGAGGCCAGATATGTTCATCAATCACAGGTAGTGATGGTAAGAAACCTGGGGAAAGAGGAGAAGGACTGCTGCCTGATGAACCATGTATCTCCATGTGCATGCCATTAGGTTCAGCCCTAAAAAAGCTCCCTGCAATTCATACTCCATCACTTAAATTACTGTAATAATAAGCACTTAGTGTTTCTACCTAAAGTCTGTAAGACCTTCTACTATAACATACTTAAAAAATTGACAGTGATTATGTAGATCAGAAATGTCAAACACAAGGCCCGGGGGCCAGATGCGGCCCGCAACGTTGTTTCATGTGGCCCGTGAAGCCATCCTGGAAACAGTGAAGGAATGGCCCCCGCTGCCTTGGCCCTGGCCGCCTGGGAGACAATCTACAACTTTGTGGTGTCCATCTATGCTGAAACGCATTCAGTCTTAGCTCCACAAGGCCATCTGGAAACAGCAAGGGACCGGCCCCTGCCACATTGGCCCCGCCCTCTGGGCGCACACTGGGGAGGTGTCACCCTTTGTGAGGAATGAAGAAATGCACCATCACCTGGAAGTGGCCAGCAAATGGCCTTCGCCTACTTCATATATCCGGCTTGATGGGCTCTGGGGGGGGGGTTTGGCAGGCTCTTCCAGTGGACCATGCCTTGGCGCTTGCCCTGGTCCCACTCCCTTCTGCCAAAGACCCTCAGATCTGTCCCACTCCTGCCCAGGCCCCCACAAGCACCCTGGAAGCGAATGATGTAGAGCTGGCCATGCCCACCCAGAAGGCCACACCCACTCCAGCCATACCCACCCAGTAGGCCGTGCCCACCCTGGCTGCACCCCCCAGCTCCCCCCGAGGACAACCGCAATGCTGATATGGCCCTCAATGAAATTGAGTTTGACACTCCTGATGTAGATGATTGCTTACCATCAGTTGCACATCCAGTGGCACCATCCTTTGAACAATAGCGCATTTCAATCCGTTGCCTTCCCACATCTAACAAACTTGCATCAGGAAGACGTGCCTTACAAGTGTATCGGAATCGCTGTTCATAGTGTCCACCATTGTCAGAGATATTCACTGGTGTCCATGGAGTCCAAGGAGTTGTCTTCTTCAGTTCTGGACAGGGGTTGGTATTGCAAGCCTGATACTCCTACAAGAAATGACATGGTTTAGCAGAATTTAACAGAATAGCAGAATTGGAAGGGACTTTGGAGGTCTTCTAGTCCAACCCCTCTGATCAGGCTTGAAACCCTATACCATTTCAGACAAATGGCTGTCCAGTCTCTTCTTAAAAACCTCCAGTGTTTATGATACTCTGTAGTAAATGTATGATATTGTATGATAATTTGGATAATTATAATTGCTTGCTAGCAAGCAGAACTGTATCATCTCATGAATTGGTGAAACTAAACTCCCACCTAACTGTTCCCTTCCTCAGTGCAGTCATAATATGTTTAGAATCTCTTTCTGGTTTCTGTGCTGGATTAAGAATGGCAGATACCCCAGCAGTACCATAGCAAGAGAAAGAGGCTAGGGGAAATTCAGTCCTTAAATATATAGCATGGGCATGCAAGGCATATCTTTTAAACTAGCTATCTCTGATTAGTTAAAAACATGATGTTGTAGATTCTGGATTCCTCCTCTACTGAAAAATGCATGGTTTCTGCAATACTGATGTTCATCATTAAATAGCCTCATTTTAGGTCCTCAGGTTAGTTGCTCATTTCACAGTATTTAATTTTTCACTCTATGTATACAGTTAGCACAAACAGGCTTTATGACTGAATCAAATGAGAGCCGTAATTACAGCAGCTAAAATGAAACACATTTCTCCTACATAATATGTGTGATGGTTGACTTCTCATGGGTTAATGCCAAATCACTCCCCTCAGTAAAAATCACAAGAGAAAACTTGCTTTGATCTGTTATGTTATGATAGGACTGCTCTGACCTTTTATTTACCACTCAAATTTAAAGGTTCACTAAGGGAGATCAAAATAATCCTCCTCTGGAAGTCTACAATACAGAGGCCACTGAAAGGTAAAGTGAAACGAGAATGCTCTTAATTTTAGTTTGTGTGGACAGAATATAAATAGATTTTATTTATCTAGGACACTTCTGGTTTTGCTCAGTTAAAATATCAAACAATAAGATAGAAATCCATAAATCAGAATATAGCCCAGATCACCACAGCAGTAGAACTGAGCAAAACTATAGAATTAATATTAAAGACAACTCTGAAATACTGGAACAACAAAAAAAAAATCACCAGGGACTGGAATGGATTCCCAGCTGGCATCAGGGCACTCTTCCACCATCATGCAGGAAGGAGAATTTGGCAACAATACCAGGCGTACAAACTTCCATGTTACAGTGTGCACACATGGAGCAGCCTATAGAACCTTAAGCACAAACTTCCATCCCACAATGTACAAACATGGAGCAGCCTACAGAACCTTAAGCACAAACGTCTACAGTGCGTGCAAATATGGAGCAGCCACTTTCTGAGGTACTGAATTCATGTTCCCATGTGCTCCACAGCCTCATTTGGAGGTAATATCTGAAGCATGCACAGTTCTAAAAATGATAATATTTGTTGTCTACTGATGAATTAGTGCACTTCTGAATTCTTCTCTGGGTCATACAACATCACCTTCTTGACTCACAAATTTAGGACTCACAAAGTCCTACAAATATAAAAGCAAACAACAAAATGCAGATAATACTCACAACACTGCAACCCGGACAATCAGGACCATTTTCACAAGTTCGGTGGCGAGCCTGAATGCCTCCTCCACACTGAGCTGTACATCGTTCCCATTCACCCCAGCCAGTCCAGAAGACATGCGGAGAACACAACAAATGCTCATTACAATACCTGTAAGAAGGAAAACAAGATCAGATGTAATGTGGTTTTTAATGTGTTGTTGCATTAATATGATTTATCAATATATGACACATGTCTAGAAATGAAAGAAAATTCAGTTACAAACATCTCCTTTTGAGCTTGAATCAGATAATTTTGCCTTGGATGCAAAATAAAGACATGATTTGATATTCACATCATTATTTAGATTTTCTATTTTTTCCCCCAGATGTTCTCTCTTCTTTCCTTTTTTTCTCCCTTGAAAATTATTTACAGTATGTTAGGACCATTAAGCCAGCAGCCTGCAGGACAGTACTAGCATTCAGTAGTGCGATCAAGAGATTGCCACAAGCTGTTTGTGATAGACTGAGCGATCAAGAGGCTTCTCCATTGTGATTGTGAAATAGCGGTTTGGAGCAGAAAAGCTAACACAACTCTGCTCAACCAGGTACTCAAAGAACATGGCCAGCTGCTGCATGGTGGGTAATGAAGCTAGCTCAGTGAAATCTGCTGCAACTAGGAGAACAGAGAAGGGGAGGAGCAAATAAAGGAACATTATAGGCAGGACAACCTAATTTACTCCTTTTTTGTTTTTTGAAAAAAAAAATGAATGTGCAAAGTTTCTTCACCATCTTTATAAAGAAACAAAAATAAGGCCCAAACTACGGATATTCATGAACCTTTACACACTGAGTACTGATCTCTAAAGATCAATCGATTAGAGACAACAGGTAACATGGATCATTTGTATAGTATCCATACAGCATTCCTCCAAAAATTAGATCTGCTTACTCACTTTTATAGATTGGAGGATAGACCAGAAGCTGCATAATAAAAGGACCTCAACAATTGTGGTACTAACATTTAACTACCGTATTTTCCGGCGTATAAGATGACTTTCTAGGCATGGAAATCAATGCCAAAGTCGGGGGTTGTCTTATTCAGCGAGTTGTCCTATACACTGGAAAATACGGTACCTAATTTAACAAGAAGAAAATGCAAATATTTAACATAATAGATGACTATACATAACAGATGTAACCAGATTTGACCAAATCCTGATGATGAGGTTGAAAAGAAAATCTAGAACAGATTTTTATTTACATAGAACAGGTCATAATGTGTTCCATCTTGATTTTGGACATTGACAACATCACTTGGTTCTTTGGAACTCCAAAATACTATAAGAACAGTGGTACCATAGCAGCCACATCTAGAAAGGAATACTACTAATATAAAATGGCATGGGGTGGGAATACTAGATTTTGTCTGCCATCCCATGAGAGTGACCTTTGTATTCAGATAAACATTGACTTCTCCAATATCATGGAAAGATAAAGAAATAATAATAATAATAATAATAATAGTAAAGTTGGAAGGGACCTTGGAGGTCATCTAGTCCAACCCCCTGCTCGGGCAGGAAACCCTACACCATTTTGGACAAATGGCTGTCCAGTCTCTTCTTAAAAACTTCCAGTGTTGGAGCATTTACTGCTTCTGGAGGCAAGCTGTTCCACTGATTAATTGTTCTCACTGTCAGGAAGTTTCTCCTTAGTTCTAGGTTGCTTCTCTCCTTGATTAGTTTCCACCCGTTGCTTCTTGTCCTGCCTTCAGGTGCTTTGGAAAATAGCTTAATTCCCTCTTCTTTATGGCAGCCCCTGAGATATTGGAATACTGCTATCATGTCCCCCCTTGTCCTTCTCTTCGTTAAACTAGACATACCCAATTCTCACAACCGTTCCTTATATGTTTTAGCCTCCAGTCCCCTAATCATCTTTGTTGCTCTTCTCTGTACTCTTTCTAGAGTCTCAACATCTTTTTTACATCGTGGTGACCAAAACTGGATGCAGTATTCCAAGTGTGGCCTTACCAAGGCATTGAAGAGTGGTATTAATACTTCACGTGATCTTGATTCTATCCCTCTGTTAATGCAGCCTAGCACTGTGTTGGCCTTTTTGGCAGCTGCAGCACACTGCTGGCTCATATTTAAGTGATTGTCTACTAGGACTCCGAGGTCCCTCTCACAGTTACTACTATTGAGCATGGTGCCACCTATGCTGTACTTGTGCATTTGGTTTTTCTTGCCTAAATGTAGAACCTTGCTTTTTTCACCATTGAATTTCATTTTGTTAGTTAGTGCCCAGTGTTCAAGTCTGTCCAGATCCTTCTGTACCTGAAGCCTGTCTTCTGGAGTGTTGGCTATTCCTGCCAGCTTGGTGTCATCTGCAAATTTGATGAGTTCCCCATCTATCCCTTCATCCAAATCGTTGATGAAGATGTTGAAGAGTACTGGGCCCAGAACAGAGCCCTGGGGCACCCCACTACACACTTCCCTCCATATAGATGCAGTTCCATTGAGGACCACTCGCTGAGTACGGCCGGTCAGCCAGCTACGGATCCATCTGGTGGTGGTTCTGTCTACCCCACATTTTTCTATCTTGTCAAGTAGTAGGTTGTGATCTACTTTATCAAATGCCTTACTGAAGTCCAAGTAAATTATGTCCACAGCATTCCTCTGATCCACTGAGTTCTGTTATTTCTTCCAGCTCACTTTGCCCAGTTTTTCAGTTATGTATGGTATTGTGTGAACTCTGCCAGCCAGCTGACCTAGCCAAATGATTTTTTGAATAGAAAAAAATAACTCAATGGTTATTTCCACCTCAAACCAGCTATCAGTTCCATCATATTCAAGAAGAGACATCACTAGTTCTTTCAGAAACTCTTTCTTCTTTCTTACCCATTGCAAGGCTACTTACTACAAACTTTGATCACATTCTGTCCCATAACAAAGTTAGAGAAACAACAGCTTTTATGAAAATTGACATGCTTCACAATCTTGCAAACTCCCCTTTTCTGCAAACATCTTTTCATTCTGCTGGAAAAAGTGGTATCAGTAGGCTTAAAAAAAAATATGCATTTTTCTAACTCCTAATCCAGGCAAAAAGTAGAATTGAGCCACCTCTGGAGAAACCACCTCTGACTGTATCCAACCATTTATGGAACTCCGGACTGGGCCTCTAAACTAGAAAGTTTAGACAGTAATAGCTGACAATTGGAGCTGATACATTCCCAAAGCTCTGATTTTAATATTTTTAAAAAGGTTTTTGCTTTTAATAAAACAAAAAAACATGATGCCGGTTTTATATTTTCCTCCCTGTATGCACAGCACACAAGTGCATTCCCTGCAGCAAAAAGCAAGCAAGCCCCAGAAATCTCAAATTATGATTGAAAGTCTCATTTCAAGAATGAATCTGCTGGAACACAGGAGTCTGAGCAAAGTCCAATTAATCCTCTTGGAAGCATTTCAAACTAGCAGGTAATGCTTCTCCCCCTGCTGATATTCCCCTCCCTGCTATTTTTTTTTTCTTTTCTAGAAACCCAGAGGATTTATGGTTTGCAATGATTCTACAAAACAAACAATGCAAGAAGATTAGTCTTTGACTGGTAGACCTCTGCACTGACCTTGTGTCCAGAAATGATGAGATAGAATTGAGAAGGTGACATGGAAAAATTGCCAAGCAAGTAATATGACCTTTGACATATCCAACGAGCCATGCTCAGCTTCCAAAGTGATTAACACTTTTAAGTAATGAGAAAGAAAACAACAAGCTAGTTTCTTCTACCAACATAAGAATAGGAACACCTCTTTTACACATAAAAAAGGGAAAAAAATCTGTTGTTTGGTTATTTAATTTATTACTAAATCTTAGTAGGCAAAAGAGTTCTACCTCACTGATCAGAGACCCACAACTATCCAGACTTTCCCAGCTTGTTTCACTTCTAGTGTGTTGGTTTGAACTACAGATCCTATCACTTCCAGCCAGAATGTCAACAACTATACTTGTTGAAACAATGAGAGGTATGTTATAACACACCCAGGGAAGCCCAGCCTAGAGATATTTGTTTTAATAAATTAAATCAGTCAGTTAAACATAATAAGCATTGCTCCAAATTAATCAGGAAGCAAGATTTACTTATTTTTTCTTCCACAAATGGCTTAATCTTAAAAAGACAGAAAGTTTAATCTCCAATGTTTAATATACTATGTCCCTTGCAGTTTACATCATCTATATATCAATCTATGTCTTAAAACAATAAAATTAGCATTAACTCTGATGAAAACTGTTATTGGCAATTTCTGAATGGAATTTACACATAAGGTAACAAATTTAACAATCTATCTTGACTGTTTATTAGACAATGTAAATAGAAATTAGCAGAATGCCCTGGAAATTTAGTTAAAAGAAATATAATGGTGACCCTATAATGCTGACAAAAAAGAAAAAAAATGAGCTGTGGTTTCTATTACACCCATGGTACAGGGTGTGATAGAATGTTCTTATATTACCCTTCTAAAACAGATTTGGGGAGGGCATTAAGACAGGCTTTATTTAAAACTCTCCTAAATGTAGAAGTAAAATATTGGAATAAGTATGAAGCCAGTTTGGGAGTTAAAATCTGATTATTTAGAAATACATTCTATAGGAGGGCAGCAGGGTGATCTTCTGTTCCTTAAATCTTCTGTCTTAAAGATAATTTAGCTTGATCTGGCACTAATGGTAAAATAGCATCGCTAGAAAAGCTGTAATAGTTCAACTGCCTTTGAAATTCTTTTTCAATGGAGGATTTGATGTTATCTCCCAGTATTAGGTGAAACAAGAACGAATTTGGTGTAGTAGTTACAGCACTAGGCTAGAAGCCAGAAGACTAAATTCTAGTCCTGTTTTAGGTATGAAGTCAATTGGGTGACCCTAGTTCAGTCTCTCTCTCTCTCTGCCCTAGGAAGGAGGCAATGGCAAATCACTTTTTAAATCTTGCCGAGAAAGCTTAACTAATTAATCATCACAAGAGAATTGGTATTCAGGTATCCAAATTATTGAAATCCAAATTTACAATGTCAAGAAAAGCCAAGAAAAGCACATGCAGACAAAAAATGGTTAAAAGACAATATGTTGTATTGTATTGTATATTATAATATCAAAATACACTAACGGGCTTGCTTAGGCAACAAA